CCTCTTTGTCCCCCGCTGCTCTCGCGGTTTCAGGTAAGGCTTCATTCTTGGGCTAAAAGGTCAGAAGTGTCCGGGGAACCTAATGCATGAGAAGAACCGACACAAAACATCTCGTATCAGCTGACGCTGATGAACGGGCCTCACACCCTGCAGACACGGCACCCAAATGAAAACCGACACCGGCACCCAAAGGTTCTTTCTGAAGCCGTTTTCAGTGTAGTAAGAAAATTACATTTCTTATCACGCGACGGCCCAGCGTCCCTCGCCTCGGTGATCGGCGCGGGCGCGTCCAGGTCCGATGGTATCGTCTGCGGCGATGACGTGAGCGCAGGGACATCTGATCTGGGGGATTAAAAAAAGGTTATTGGATCTTTGCTCAAAATCTCAAACCACGTCACATGTTGTTATGGACTGGTCGTCTTAAACCGCCTGCGTAAACCAGTCATCGGGCCATTTTCAATATGAAAGGTCAAAGGTTACCATCTGATGTAGACGTTAGCTTTGAAGCTAACGCAGCCTCTTGTCGGGTCACAATCAAAACACACAGACCAGAGAAACATAATGCAAAAATCACAAAGAAGAAAAAGGTCTGTGACCTCATCTTTATGTGTGTGTGTGTGTTTGTGTGTGTGTGTGTGTGCACAAATGTCCACGGACACTTTCACAAGTGTGAAAGCCTACTTTGTGGATCAAAGAGTCCGTACTGTGTGTGTGTGTGTGTGTGTGTGTGTGATCCAGTTGAGTCATGCATAATTCAGATTTGGGGAAACAAAGGCCTGCTTATGTCATAATAAGCTACACATTCTTGCAAGCTGAGCAGAAGAGACCGAAATCCGGCTTCTACAGGATGAGCGCTCACTCATCTTCAGCTTTTATGTGTCTCCCAGGAATTTTACACATTCATACATCTGGCACAAAAAAATACTCTGCATTCAATTCATCCGTCTTTAGGGTGTTATATTGGCGGTGGATCTGTTTGTTTAATTTACATCCATCAGTCTCCTTTTAAAATCATCATTGTTGTGTTATTCATGAAAAAATACAATGTTTCTCTTCACTTTTCCATCAATAATCTTTATTTGTGTCCCTTTGATGGGTTTTCACTGGTTTCTTCTTCACTTCTTCTGATCACAGCCAGGATAATAATAGAAATATAAATATGGATGAAAGGATCACATCTCGTCCGCTGAGCTTCTTGCGCTCTCTGCTGGTCAGCTGACGAAGCTACAAAATATTTACCTATTTCTACTTTCCATATTGTGTTTATCTATTACCCACCCAGAGACTTAAACCTTGTGATTTAAAGAATTAAAAGAACGTCACTAATAGAATCCAAACACAAAGTATCTGACACTGAAGAAAAATGATAACGCTCGTCTTTTATTATCAATAAATGAATTAATAAGCGGGGGTGCACTTGGTTTTGTTGGGGATCTCCATTCATTCACAAAGCAGATTTCACAGTATTTTTCCCCCTCCCAAAAAAATCCTTCATGTTTTGAAATGTTTGAATTAAAAAGTGGAGGTTAGAGGCCTTTAGCTAAATGCTAACCAGCGTGCTAACACGGTGTTTGCTGTCCTAGCAGCTAGCATGCTAACATTCGCTACCCAGCACCAAACAGTTAAATTAAGTGTTTCTGCTTCTACAACCAAAGGGAAGCAGAGCGAATGAATCAAAAGCCGACGGCCAGTCCGGGTCTTCTGGAGGTGAACTTCAGATGCCCCCCCCATTCTGAAACTGTAATCAATAAAGTAATGACAATATTGTAAAACCACTGTAAATCTGAAACTTTAATAGAATAATACCAATGTACAGTTATGATTGTATTTGATGTAATGTAATCAACTGGAATGCATGCATGAAATACTTGAACAACAACTGATATTGACTAAGGATCATTCGAAATCCGAGTTACATTGAACTCACCAAAAGACTCCCAGAGGTGTGGACACTGACTTTCACACCTTTAAGCATTGTTATAAATACCTGTAGGAACCATTGTTCTGGAGTTCACTGGTGGAGGCGACAGACGGGCACTATGGGGGGTCAAAGGACTGACCTGGGGCCTGTTGGTCGCTGAGACCAGCGGCTCCTCAGCTGAGATGTTCTTTTTACCACAACACCATCTCTTTAATTAAATACATTTGATTTTAACATTTTGATCAGCGATGACATCTGTCCGTCCGGCATTTCTTCATTTTTTAACACAACAGTGGACATGTGGACATGTGAGGACATGAAAGCCGTCACGCTTCGGCCCTGCGAGAAGCTCTTTGTCGACGTGGAACCACCTATAGAAAGCTGTTGGTGTGAGTAGAGATGTATTTATAGCCCCCCCCCCTCTCTCCCCTTTGCCCCCTCCCTCCTTTATTGTCATTCATGGTTCTACGAAGCGGCCTCTCTGTTAATTAACCTCAACAAGAGGCCCTGAGACTGAAGCGGCCTCAGTGACACATCGCGTCCTCTGCTGCCCACACAGAACTTTAGTCTGTTACGCTCATTTAAATCAGGCGTAAACACAAAGGAATCAAGTACTTATATACGAGTACACGTCCAATTCATCCGAGTACACAAAGTACTAACGTTTACTATGGACATTAGAATAATTAGTAGCTTTAAAACGAGAGAACATTGTTTTGATTCTTCGTCTTTGTTGTTGCTCTAATAAGCAACAGCCTGACGCTGAATATGTCTTTAAAAATAATAATAATAACTCAACAAGTTCTTCACTACTTATCTTTGAGTAAAACTATTCCACTTATGTTGCAGCATCTTAAAATAAAACACATCCAACAATAAAACTCTTGAGTGGTCTCGACCCCCCCCGGGGGACACTAGGGCCGCACGGACACCGGGCCTCGCGCCGGGGGGGTTGTTGGAGTTCAGACGCGTGACCCAAAGTGTCCGCCGCGCGGCACCGGAGGGACAGCGCGTCGGCTCACCGACACGGTTACCGGACACGGGGCCCGCTGCTCGCCATTTAGCTGTTTTGTTGTTGTTGTTGTTGTTGTTGTTTTTAGTGGAGGGAAACACTTTGCGTCTTGAAGACATGAGCGCGCGGCCAGCGGAGGAGCGCGCTTTGGTCCCCAACGGAGCGCGGAAGGTAGGAGCTGCGCGCGCATCGCACCTTTACGCACGAAATGCTCAAAGCGAAAGATGGACGTTATTCAGTGTTTATTGAAGCCGGTCAGGTTGCTGTTAGACGTAAAAACCTCATCATTATGGGCGAGTGTGACAGTTTATATGATGACGAATACAGTTTGTGTTGTTATGGCTGTTTATTGTTTGTGTAATTGTTTGTTTTCTGATTCGTATCATCTGGATGGAACTTGTTTGTGGGGGGGGGGGGGGGGGCATGTGTACGGCCCACCACCAGGGGGCTGTCATTCACCGAAGGAGATATGTTATATAAATTGCACTTAGTTATTTCAAACACCACACAAGCACAGTTTATGTTGAAAGTAAACGTTTATATTTTCCTTTAGAACGCGTAAAATCCCTCCATTGGTTCCTTAAGTAACAATACAGAACATTAAACGTACCAAAGGTGAAGAAACTCAACTCAACAACGGTCCTTGTTAACTTTGCACTGTTATTGGTGGATTATTGGATGAAAGTACATCTTCTTTATGTGAAAGCAGCTCTTTGAACATTTCTGTCATGAAAGAACACAAATACACTCACACGCGTCAGATAATTTTATTAAAAAACATAATGTCCTTTTTACAACAAGGGTTACTTTCTTAAAGGCCTTTATATTCTAAGTACCTGTATTAATGGTTAATAAATCATTTATAAAGGCTTTATTGATCGGTAAAAAAAGCAGTAAACTTGGGTTGACGACATGGAAAAAGAAAGTGATTAATATCGAAGAACGTGATGGTTTATGTTTTATATAAAATGCAGTATTTGAAACGTGTCAGCTGATGGTGGGACGGTGGGTTTGTGTGCGAGCGACGACACCATCAACAAAACAATGAGTCAGGTGACTCTGTCCTCATTCATGTGGCCTGTGATCCCTTGTTCTCAAAACACATATTGATCTTAGATGCTTTTAAAGGGTGTCGATGCCAAAGGTCCACCCGTAACCACGGCGACCACCGACTCAAGCCGGCCCGCGCCATTTTGGATATAGATCGAGCTAATCGCATCTGTGGTATCAGAAGGGTCGATCCTCGTTACGTCGTTATTCTCATTTCCATTGAAACGCACATGCAGTTGATAATCAATGTCCTCGCCGATCTGTGACTAAAGAATATTTGTTCTTAAGATCCAGTCGCTAAAAACGCGTCACCTTTGTTGCCCTCTGGCAGCTATTAGACTTTAATAAACGTATCTCTACGTTTTAGTTCTCACCTGGCCGAGGCAACCAACCGTCATCAGATCAGACATTATGAGTCATTTATTTAATGGTGATAAACGGCATACTTTGTATGTTCAAAGGTCAGGTGTCAAAGGTCACAGTTTTTTGGCAAACAGAAACCGGTGATCTCCTGGAATCTTTGTCAAGGAATCTAAATAAGCAAGAAAAGGCTTTTCAACAAGCTTCTGCTTCACAGCATCATAATTCACCGCAGGGAGGCTTTAAGCCCCCCCAGGTCTCTGAGGCCTCCGGGGAGGCGAGAGGGTCCGGATGGAGGGAGAGTTTAATGTTATATGGATGTAGAGGGAGGAGGGGGGAGGGATGGACCAGTGGCCCGCTGGGAGAATAACTAAGTAAGAGCCACAGAGGGGATTTCATAAATCCACTTTACTGTCCTCAGACCGAGAATGAGTAGGAAGCCAGATGTGAAGCCAGAGGATCCCGGTGGTTCGGTCCGGCTCGGCGGGTTTATTTTGCATTCGTCAGTCCTGCTCATTTGACAGAACAGGCCACCATCACATCCAGCTTGTTGTTTTTTGTTGTTGTCTCGAAAACGAAATCGAAATCCAAGACGCGACCCCCCCCCTCCCCCTACCCCGGCTCCCCCTGCCCCCCCCCCTGATGCGCTCGCCGGAGTGTGCGGAGCGGGGAGCCCCTTCCAGCGATGCCCGTAGTGAGCGCGGCAGCCTGCGCCCGAGCGTCGGTGTCGATCAGCGGGGACCTCTGACTCTCTCTCTCTCTCTCCGCGGCGGCATGGGCTGCGCTCCCAGCATCCACGTCTCCCAGAGCGGCGTCATCTACTGCCGGGACTCGGACGAGTCCAACTCCCCCCACCAGACCACCACCACCATCTCGCAGGGCGCCCCGCGGCCACGCTGCACGGGCTCTTCGTCAAGACCGACGCGGCCGAGTCCATCCCCGCCGTCCTCGCCTTCCAGAGCCGCCACGCGCGCAACAGCGACCCGTGCCGCGATCGCAGGGAGGGGGGGCGCGTCGGCATCGAGGCCGAGACACAGACCAGCCGCACCAGCGTCAAGGTACGCGGGGGGGGGCATCATCAGCTGGAGTCGTGAGTGGGGGGGGGGGGTTGTTTGTCACCCAGGAGGAGGGAGGCGGGCGGCTACGCCTTTATTTACAGCTGTGAGTCTCTTCTCGTCTGACAGCGACGCCGTTACCCGGAGCACGTGATCTGATGCACACGTGACAGGCGCGCGCGTAAACGCTGCTGGCTGCACAACAGGTGCAGGTTCAGTTCGGCCGTTTGCTGTTTGTTGCAGAGGCGTCAACGCGTCGACGTTACGTCCTCGGATGCATCAGAGACCCCTTCGAACCACAAGCTGCAGCGTCCCCTTGTTTACATACGGGGCCTCTCGTGAGGCGTTGAAGGGCCTGGGTGTGCAAAACACGTATCAACAGTCTTCTGTTTATGATCTCTAGAAGTGGTGGGAGGGCGAAGACGTGCATCCCGAACACGGAGACGTCGGACGAGTTATGCACAGGAGACGCGAAGCCTCAGCAGGTTTGATGCGGGCTGCAGACCGTCGGCTGGCGGACTTGTGTCGTCGTGCTGTCCTTTTATTTGCGCGCCCGGACTTGTTGATGGATGCGGCCCGTGAACAGATACGTCTTCGTGTTTATGATCGCGCCCCCGCAGGATGACATCTGTTAAGAACCAGTGGAGCAGCCGATTTCCTTTTTTTTTCCATTAGAATTTGGCTAAAATATACATTTTAGACGTTTGGTTTATTTGAATTTAAACAAATGAATTGCGTTCAACGCTCATCTGGAGTCTCAGGCTGCGTCAGAAGTTCCACGCTGGAATGTTCTTTCTTAGAATTGTGCGTTTATAGTAAGAAAAAAGCCTGCGGGTATAAACAATGGAGTAATGCGATGTTTAAACACAGCAATATTCGGCTGGTTTGTTAATTGTTTCTCCATCTGCCTTTTCCTGCAGGTCTTCATAATTTTTCATGGTGTTGGTCAGAGATTGTGTGTGAGTGTGTGTGTGTGTGTGTGTGTGTGTGTGTCTGTGTGTGTGTGTGTGTGTGTGTGTGTGTGCCTCGTACACACACTCCTGAGAGAATACAGAGAGAGAATGAATGTGAATGGGATGCTTTGGGGCGGGGCTACACCGTGATTGACGGGTCTCTACCGGAGCCGTAACGTCCTGCCTTCAAATTTGAAGCGTGGTCCCTTTCGTTCAACTTTCAAAAAGGCCGAGATGGCGACCGGCCAAATCGGCGAACCACGAGACAACGATGTAACGAGACAACGAGCGTAAACCGAGCAAGAGGCCGAGCAGGTGTTTGTTTGTGTGCACGGACACACTTTGTGTTATTATTTCCCTTCAGACTTATTTGAGCTCTTTCGTTTGCCCGTACAGAAGCTTTTAAATCAGATCCAGCCATTAGAAGTGACTTTCCTTCAGTTGGTCTTACAGTGTTGGGGCAGGAATGTCATCCAGGCTGTGAAGTGGAAAATAGTTTAAACGTTGGAGCGGGACAAGTGTTTACAGGCGAGGAAGCTCCTGTAGGTGTGTGTTCACGTGCACGTTATCTCACTGCAGCGTGATGTGGGCTTCCTGTTTCCACGCTCCCCGCAGTTGTGGTTCTTAAACAAAGTAGACGATGTTACTTAACTCACATGCTGCAGGATTTATTTCAGGGATTCCAAACCATATGAATGCAAAGTAGTTTGGGTGGAATAACTTTAGATGATCAAATTCCCTAATCAGGCAGAATTATATTCACCACGATTAGTCTGGATGCAAAAGGTTGTGATGGGTGAAAGTAGCATCTGTCACACGTCATTGTTCCACGAGGCCGATGGCTCAAACAACACTCACACACTGCTAGCATCATTTCACAGATGAACATATAATATATCTAAACTATCGTTTACCCCTTAAATACACAAAGAATTTGCTTAATAATGAATTGTGACGTATTACAGTTGAACCTGATATCCGACAGAATCTTATTTTATACGACTATACGACACACAGCATTAAATGTGAAAATGCTAACAGCTTGCTAGCCCAATTAGCTAACTTTAGTGGTCAGGTACGTAGCATTCATGTCCCCTTTTCATCATTTCTAGCACTCTCTTCTGGCTTTTTGGTGTCAGCTGGTGTTTCCAGTCCGATATCAAGGCATCTCGTGTAACTTCAGGCCGCTAATTTAGCTGCTAATTCGCGGCTAAGTGCCACAGTTCCCTTAACGGGGTCTTTTCTGCAGGTCAGAGGTCGTTCGGGGGCTCCTCCTTTTAGGCTTCGATCGGGCTTCTTGGCGGGTAACATAATGGCGCTTAACCGTGGCCCCTGATGCATACGATCATGGCGGTTAGCGGCGCTCTGGAGGCCTCGCTAACGCCACGCTGCTCCGTTTCTTCCTAGAAAGAAAGAGTCGGGTCTCGAGGAGAGTGATGTCAGCTCAGACGTTGGCCCGCCAGTGTAAACAGCGCTTTCTATTCTGCAGCCGTAATGTAAACGCGCTTGTCCTCTTCATAACCTCACGTCGCGCCTTCGATACCTTCAACATTCGCCAACTTTGTTAAGCTTATTGCATTCTGAAGAATAAAGTGCCTCCACAATGAGCACACGTTTAATCTGCATCCTAATCTGCACACAGTGAGTAATTGGGGCTTTATGCACAGAGCAGCTTTCAGAGCGCTCCACAAAAACAACGCAATGAGCGCCGAGGAGAAGTTTAGGGTGTGAGTGCGAGGTTCACTTCGCCAGGATCATCTCCGGTTTATGTGGCCCCACATCCATTGAGGAGAAAAGGCTCCACACAGCGGCTGGCTGCTTCTTCCGCGTGCTTCTAGTGGAGACAGTTGTCCAAAAGTCCAAGCAAGTCCACGCATTCTCACTGTCTCCATGACAACGCCGTCCTTTCTGTTCCCCTCCCACATCGGCCCTCCGTTCACCGTCCTTTCTGCCCCGTTTCACATCGTCGTCCTCAAGTAGAAACACACCTCCTCGTGTCCTCGTGTCCTCGTGAAGCGTCTCTCACCACGCGACCTCGCTTCTGTCCTCCTGTGATCCCGGACTTCCAGCTCAGACTTCCTAGAATCCACTAATTCCCCCCCGCAGGTCGAGGACGGACCCGGCTGAACCGGGACGTTCTCTCCTTCATGTCCCACCGTTCGCACCAGGAATTTATTTTGTCTCCAAATACTTGGATTGTTTCTCTGTAGTTTGAGGAATTCCAAAGTAAACTGTGTGTGTCGATAAATCGCCTGCGTGAAGCTTCTCTGACGATCAGCCGCACGACGTCATTCGTATAATTCTTCATCCCCAAAAAAACTTTTAAACTTTTTACTATCCGCTTTACTCCCACAACTTTAAATACACAACTTCCCCTTAAGCAGAAACACAACAGGTGTTTAACTGTAATTGTCCTCTCCGGTTATACAATATAATACTTTAATTTAAATCCATTAACTTTAAATGAAAATGCTTCTGCTTAATTTTACCGGAGGTATTTCTGATGACAGTCGTTTGGTCTCGTTTAATTAAACTTAACAGTCACCAACATCTGGGCACATTTTCACATCCTGCTCTTTAACTCTGCGAAGACACAAAACTACACCTGTTGCGTGTTCAAGCTTCCACAGATATTCTCTTTGCTTTTAAAAAAAAAAGTGTTTTTACGCTTCACTACACGCAAAACAACAACAAAAAGAGAGGCCTTGAGTGGAAGTGGGTCGTGGCGGGTGATGTCACAGTGATGCAGAGCGGTTTGCAGCTCGCATCACGTGATGCGGTTGCTCCTCTTTCTTCACCTCTTCTCACCCTTTAATCATTGATATCTGTCTGCGGCTGCAGAGGAACCCCCCACGTGTGCAACGTGCCCCGCGAGCGATCCACAAAACCGCCAACGGGCGGTCCAGAGGAGGGTTCCTCCAACCGCTGACTCACTGTGTGCTGTAAGCATGTGTGTGACGCAATGGTCCGGCCTCCAAAACACACACGCGTGTGTGTATATAAAGAGAGAGAGCTCCTGCAGTGGGATTATCAAGCAAACCCGCCTGCTAATTCCTCGTCTGCAGGAGAGCAGCCGCCAGTTTGTGGCGTCCTGCTCGTAGACGTGAGAGGAGGCGAGGGAGAACGCACAGAGCCAAACGCCAGCATGATGCTGGACATGAATGGTAAAATGGTAAGAGTGTGTGTGTGTGTGTGTGTGTGTGTGTGTGTGTGTGTGTGTGGTTGGGGGGGCGGAGATTCACGCGTTTGCTTCGTCTCTCTTCAGGTTTCAGCTACAGAGGAATGTGTAGGACCCATGAGACTGACCCAGGAGCCCATCCAGGTGAGACGTCCCCTCTGGAGTGTCCCCTTTAGTCCCCCCTCAGTCCTGTTTGGGTCCAATGAAGGAAACTCTGAAGACAGAAACATCTGCGGGTTATTAGCATGACGACATCGTGAAGCCGTTTTCATACAAAAGTCTGTCTTCAGATGTCTGTTTGTTTCAATTGGAAAAAAATACATATTAACTTTACAAAGTAATGAGACAATTTCTCTCTTTGGAGAATCTGCGATCTGAGAATAATCGGAATATTAGGAATGTTTTTGCTATTTCTGCTTGAACGTGTTTCCCTTAAAGATTCTTTCAGCTCTATGTTAACTTCAATTAAGAGAATCAAATGTCACGATTTGTACGTTACGGTAAACTTTGTTCACCCGCTCAATAACAACACAAAGCAATCGGCACACACGTCGCACACAGGAACCCGCCTGCTTCCCTCTTAACACCGTGTTCACGTCACACACACACTGAACTGTGATCGAAGGCCGTCGGACGTGTGGCTCCCGGATTTGTATTCTACGATTCTACGAATCAACATTGGAAACTACATATCACATGTGATCTGATCACTGAGCTGATCACATGTTCTGATCACATGTTCTGATCAGCTCAGTGATCACATGTTCTGATCACTGAGCTGATCACATGTTCTGATCACATGTTCTGATCAGCTCAGTGATCACATGTTCTGATCAGCTCAGTGATCACATGTTCTGATCACATGTTCTGATCACATGTTCTGATCAGCTCAGTGATCACATGTTCTGATCAGCTCAGTGATCACATGTTCTGATCACCGAGCTGATCACATGTTCACAGCCGCCATCGTTACTAATCATTAGAGGTCGTTCTGCTGTCGGTGAAGCATGTCGGGGATTGACCGGCCTCATCCTCCTGTGAGGGATTAGGCCACGTGCAGGTGAGCTTTACCTTTATGTAACACACAACCTCAGGTCGGGGGGGGTATGAGGTGCGCTCGTTTCATTCACCAGACCTCCAGGGGTTTCTGGGTTTAGGCTCCGCTCCAGCGTGGTGATGTGAGAGGCCCGGCGTGCCGCACGTGTTCACGACCCCCCCGACCCCCCAGGCAGTAACAGCAGGCAGGCGGTGGGACGAGGGGGGCTTTGTTAAAAAGCCTCCTAAGTTGTTCCACAGAGCCGTCTGCCGGATCTGTGATTCACCCCCCCTCCTCCCCCCGCTCTCCCCCTCCTCCCTCCTCCAGATGAAACTAGAGAGAGAGAGAGAGAGAGTTATATTTAGTGAGTTTTCCTTGACATTTACTGTTACTGCCTCACAGCACCGGAGATATATATATATATATATATATAAAGTATATATATATATAAAGTTCTCCTATATATATATATATATATATATGTAAAAAGTTCTCCTATATATATATATATATATATATATATATATATATATCACTTAGTAGATCTCAGGAATTTAATTGTTTCAAAGGTTGATTTGTAAAACTTCTTCTCTCTTAAAGCGAGTACGTGTTGATTTAAGTGTAATTAATGTGATGGCCGAGAGGTTAACAGCTTGATTTATATCTACACACTTTGATCCCTATAATAATATTTACTGTTAAGGCGCAGTTCTCCCAGTGACCCCTCCCTGGGGAATGACCCCCCCCCCCCTTCAGATGGGACGTGGCCTCGGTGTGCAAACATGGCCAATTGACCTCTGACCTCTGAACTCTGAATGGAGCCTTTTTTATTTTTATACAAACCATGAATCCTTCAGTTCGTGTATTTAAATATAACTCACTCAGCTCAGAGTTTTATTGGTTTACTTCAGAACTCTTTAACAGAGATAAAAACGTCTCATTTACAGTTCCAATAGTTTACTTGTGTTCAGCGTCCCGTGTTGGAGGCCCTCAAACCCAGCGAGCCGGTGCACACTGGAGGGCTCTGAACCGGGACGAGTTCAGCGTGAACTTTGAAGGAGAACTTCTTACATCGAAGCCAGAAGTTTCCGACTTCAATTTAAATCTGTGTGGGGGGGCGACGCCGGTTAGCCGTCCAGTGATGCAGTGAGATGCATTCAGGGACGTGTGCATTCATATTTGGGCGGCAGGTTGGAGATTCCTGTGTGTGTGTGTGTGTGTGTGTGTGTGTGTGTGTGTGTGTGTGTGTGTGTGTGTGTGCGTGAGTGGAATTACACACGCTGGCTCCGTGGTTACACAAAGCGCTGCCACGGTTACGTAAGCCAGCACAAGATCAAAGACTGAGGACTTTCACAAGCACTCACCAATACTCGCTCCTTTTCTCTTCTTCTTCTCCTTCTCCTTCTTCTAAATCTTCTTCTTCTCCTTCTTCTTCTTCTCCTCCTTCTCCTTCTTCTCCTCCTCCTTCTACTTCTTCTTCTTCTCCTTCTTCTCTTCCTCCTTCTTCTCCTTCTCCTTCTTCTCCTTCTACTTCTTCTTCTCCTTCTCCTCCTTCTCCTTCTTCTCCTCCTCCTTCTACTTCTTCTTCTTCTTCTCTTCCTCCTTCTTCTCCTTCTCCTTCTCCTCCTTCTACTTCTTCTTCTTCTCCTTCTCCTCCTCCTTCTTCTTCTTCTCTTCCTCCTTCTCCTCCTTCTCCTTTTCCTTCTTCTCCTCCTCCTTCTCCTCCTTCTACTTCTTCTTCTTCTTCTTCTCCTCCTTCTACTTCTTCTTCTTCTTCTTCTTCTTCTCCTTCTTCTTCTTCTCTTCCTCCTTTTCCTCCTTCTCCTTCTCCTCCTCCTTCTTCTTCTTCTTCTCCTCCTCCTTCTTCTTCTCCTTCTTCTTCAGATGGACAGACTGATAATTATGGACACTAACCCCCCCGTGACTTGTCCTGTGACGAGGTCCACGTGACGTGGTTGTTACTCATTGTTGTGTTGCTGTCTTTTATGTGCGTGACTTTACAACGACTGACTGAGATTGTGAAAACACATGTTTGTGCCGTGAAAATACTTTTATTCATATCCAGTATTTTCTAAACCACCATTGCAATAACTTCATTTTTTATCATTTTTTCATTTTTTGATTAAATGCCACTGATAATAATTTCAGTCTTAAATAGTTCTGTTCATAATGTTCATATACTGTACGGTGATCCATCAAATCATCACTCCAGAGGCTCGGCTGGTATTTTCCAGTATAGTGCCCCCCCCCACCCCCCCCCCCCCATGCGGAGGTGGGTGTCAAAAGGAGAAGTTGTCTTCTGGGCCATAAATGTCAATCCCTGGGGCTGGAGCCTCAGTGTCAGTGTGTGTATCACAGCTGGAGGTCTGCGTAGTAAATGTAGTGAGACCTGCTAACAGAGACGTGCTATAATTACCGCCGCGGTAGCAGCACCGTCTCACGCCCTCCTACGCCCTCCTCCGCCCTCCTGCATCAGGTCCTGCTGGTGTTCGCCAAGGAGGACGGCCAAAGCGACGCCTTCTGGTGGGCCTGCGAGCGCGCCGGCTTCAGGTGTGACATCGCACGCACGCCCGAGTCCGCCGTCGAGTGTTTCCTGGACAAGCACCACGAGATCGTGGTCGTCGATGGACGCCACTCGCGCTACTTCGAGGCCGAAGCGGCGTGCCGGTGAGCCTCGAGCAAAAAGAACAAACAAATAAACGCTGTAAACATGCGTTTATGGTCTCAGGCTCTAGTTTCTAGTCTTCTTCAACTCAGCGTGATGTTCATTTAGTTAATTATGGTCCATTAAGAGTCAAACAGACCATGAAGCAGGGGATGCTTTAGGGCGGGGCTACACAGTGATTGACAGGTTGTCGGGTCTGGGAGGTGTAACCAGCTGACTCTGATCCACATGTGTTTTAACGCCAGGTTGATCCGTGCGACGAAGCCGTCTGAAAACGCCGTTATTCTCGCCGTTTTGCCTCAAAGGTAAGTTCGTTTTCACCATCGTGACGACCTCTGTGACGGCGGTGGGTGTGATTGTGACGGTTCTCTTCTGTCCTCGCGTAGAGCGCCCGACCAGGACGAGCCATCGGTCCTGCCTCTCCTCCGCGCGGGATTCAACAGAGTAGGTCCCCCCCGTCGTCGTGTCACATCCCGCTTCCTGGTAGGCGACGGCCATCGAGCCCCCCGAGCACCTCGCGCGGCATCTTGTCGCCAAACTGCCGCCGGCGGGGGGGGTTCGACGGCGCGAGCGTGACGCGGAGGAGGACGGAGGAACAAGTCGCTGCAGAGTAAATCCTGACTCCGTTTTCATCTGCGCCTCCAGAGGTTTGTGGAGAGCAGCAGCGTGTCGGCCTGCTACAACGAGCTCGTACAGATCCAGCACGGCGAGGTGCGCTGCCAGTTCAAACTCAGGTACGCACAGGGTGGGGGGTGGGGGGGGGGGTGATGGTGCATCCATGCTCAGGCGCTTCTACAAGGTGGAGGTGCTGGAGACGCTACTAAATACTTTCATTGACACTCAGGGCTTGTAACTCGGTCTTCACGGCGTTGGAGCACTGCCAGGAGGCCGTGGAGATCACCAGCGAGGACCACGTCATACAGGTAACACACACGCGCGTCCATGAAAGCATGGTTAAGTAAAAAGGGGCGGGGCGGCACCAGTTCTATCGTAAACGGGCCTGTAACTGTCCAGTACGTGAACCCGGCGCTCGAGCGGATGCTGGGCTACCACAAGGGGGAGCTGATCGGAAAGGAGCCCGCCGAACTGCCCAAGAGCGACAAGAACCGAGCCGACCTGCTGGACACCATCGACGCCTGTGTCAAAAAAGGAAAGGTGGGTCTCACGCGCGCGCCGCCCCCGCCCCCTCCGAGGTGAGTGCCGCTGCCTGACTGCTGCGCTGTCTCCGAAGGAATGGCAGGGCGTCTGCTACGCCAGGAAGAAGTCGGGCGACAGCGTGCAGCAGCACGTGAAGATAGCGCCCGTCGTCGGCCAGGGGGGGTAAGCTACGGTCAATCCTCGGCCTTCACGGGGAGCGGGAAGCGCTGACGGACTCTTGTCTCGCCTCCCAACAGGAAGATTCGACATTTCGTGGCCGTCAAGAGACCTCACGGTGACAACAACAACCAGGTGAGTCGTGTGACACAGGCGATAAATTAAGAAACGAGGGAACAAACAGACACAAGAGGCAGGACCTCAACGAGGAACGCCGGGGCGTCACGACACGAATCCCGTCACCGGGGGGTCTGCAGCCTCACGGCTCACCTCTGAAGCAGGTGCCCCCCCTCCCGCCAAGGCCAGGGGCCGGCCACCCAGGGGGGCTATTTATACCCCCGCGGGGGCAAAACCTGCACAGAGCCCGGCTTTGGGCACCAGGTGAGTCAACGGCTGGCGTTCCCTCCTGCTTTGGATTGGGAATCCTTCGACATGGCAGCGGACCCCCCCCCTCCCCTAGAGGTTTGGCTGCAGGCCGCGGTTTCCATTTCCCGCCGCTGTTTGGTCGAAGCCCCCCAGCAGTTTGCTTCCCTTTTGTTTATCTCAATTAAAGGACCGTCATCATCTCAGCGACTTCCCGGCTTCAGTCGAGTTCGCTCACAACGTAAACGCGTCTTTTTTTAGTCTGTTTGAGCTTCGCAGCCCGAGAGCCACGTGGAGATAAAGCCTCCGTTTTAAAAGAACTATTTATGGGTCAAGTTGTCTGCGTGCATTCGGTCCTCCTCAAACGTGCCCCATCAGCACCACGTGAAGGTGCAGGTGAGTCACCGGAGGGGGGGGAGGAAGATCTCCTCTAACCGGATTAAACCGGCTCCACTGATCCACCCGGCGCGACCTCAGCGCGGCCAACATGACGCACAACCGCAAACGTGCTGAGGAGCTTAAAGTCTGTAAAGCCGTGTTCTCCTGAAGTAGTGGAATGATTCATGTAGACACAAACACATGTATGTATTCATGTCTTTATATTGATGAATCTGTCTCAGGTTCACAAGTTGAACAAGGAGGAGCGCTGCATCGGGGAAAACTCCCAGTCAGGTAACTCAAACGCACCAGCAGGCCCTGTTTGTACAAACGTGGAGTCGCGTGATTCCTGATCTGTGCCCCAAAAACGACTAAACTCATGAAAAAATTAAAGAAATAAGTGCGTGCATCAGAAGAATACTATTAGTTGATATTTAAGAGTAAATTAATATTTATATTTCTCCTTCAGCCTTTAATCTCGTTTTAACAAGGAAACATTTACATTTTTCTTTGTATCTTGGCGCACATTTGATTATTTATCCCCCCCCCCCCCCTGCAGAGTGCCATCCTCTACGTCACCGGGACAGGAGGAAAGATTCAATCGACGGCAGGTCGCTCAGCTCTCGCGGCAGTGACGGTAAAAAAAACGGTTCAGTCGGCTGTGTGTTTAGCTTTGTTAGCCGTTAGCCGCACACACTCACCTTTGACCTATGACGTCACTGGGGGCTGGGGATCAATGAGCGACGCTTCTTTTGTTCTTTTTCTTTTTCGATTGCAGCTCCGAGTCTACAGAACCGGAGATATTCCTCCGTGGCCCGGATTCACTCCATGACCATCGAGGCTCCCATCACGAAGGTACTGGTGGTCCCACCTGGAGGAACTACTCAGCTCTGCATGAATAAGATTATAAATATTTACTCCACACTTCAGGTATGAGGTCCAGGGTCCAGTCTCTGGTCTTTTTCCTCCTCGGCAGGTGATAAACATCATCAACGCGGCGCAGGAGAGCAGCCCGGTGACGGTGGCCGAGGCCCTGGATCGGGTGTTGGAGATCCTGAGGACCACGGAGCTCTACTCCCCTCAGCTCGCCTCCAAAGACGATGACCCCCACGCCAACGACCTGGTGGGGGGGCTCATGAGCGTAAGAGGCCTCCCGTCCACGAAACTCTTTATAAGGAGGTTTGAAATACTCGGACCTCATTAAACGAGCATTTCTGTTGGGCCGAGACATCGGTGTCTCCTGAGTGCCAACAAGAGTCGTCGTTTATTTTATTTGTTCTGAACTTTGTTAAAAAGGACCGACTGCGAAGTGAGTAACTGCACGCTGACGTCAGTCCTTCTGCAAACTGAGTTTATCGTTTTCAGATCCAACGCTTGGCCGTAGAAACAAATAACAAATGATCTTCGCTTTAAAAAGAACTAAAATGACAGTAAATAACAGTTAATCTACACTTATTAGTTGGGATCTGTCCCAAACCGGATACATCTCCTTCCTCCCATTTTTGTTTCTTTAACAATGAACGATGAGTCGCATCCATTTTCCCAATAATTTGCAGACACAGATTTATAGACTAAATGCTGTTAACCAAAGAACGATAATTGTTTTACCACAACTAATTAACGCATTCCTTCACTTGTCTGTCTCTCCAGGATGGTCTGCGGAGACTCTCTGGCAACGAATACGTCTTCTGCAAAAGTAAGTTGTGAAGAACCAGCGAGTCCTGAGTGACAGCTGTCATTCTGATAATAAGACCCCTCGGTTTGCCCCTCCTGTCCCCTTATTACCGCGTGTGCGTGTGCGTGTGCGTGTCAGACATGAGCCAGAGCCAGCTGTCCGTCCCGGTGACTCTGAGCGACGTCCCCCCGCCCATCGCCGAGATGCTGAACCACGAGGAATGCTGGGAGTTTGACATCCTGGAGCTGGAGGCGGCCACGAACAAGAGGTAGGAAGCACGACGAGGAGGACGAGCAGGCGAGGGGGGGGGGGGGGGGCGTATGGCTGGTTGTTTGAGGGCAATCGTTTAAAAGCGGTTTGTTCGGTTCGGGGGGGGGGGGGGGTGTCCGCAGGCCGCTCACGTATCTCGGGCTGAAGGTCTTCGCCAGCTTCGGCGTGTGCGACTTCCTGAGCTGCCCGGACGCCACGCTGCGCTCCTGGCTGCAGCTGATGGAGGCCAGCTACCACTCCTCCAACTCCTACCACAACTCCACCCACGCCGCAGACGTGCTGCACGCCACCGCCTACTTCCTCCGCAAGGAGAGGGTCAAGGTACCTTCACCCCGCCGTCCCCTCGTCCGCGTGGAGCAGCTCGCTTATGACGATAAAACGAAGTTCTTGAAACCGCCTTTATTGACCTTGGTCCCTCCCCCCCTCCCCTCCCCTCCCTCCCCCTCTGCGTGTCTCTGCCGCTTCGTTCAGAACATCCTGGAACAGCTGGACGAGGTGGCGGCGCTGATAGCGGCCACGGTGCACGACGTGGACCACCCGGGCAGGACCAACTCCTTCCTGTGCAACGCCGGCAGCGAGCTGGCCGTCCTCTACAACGACACCGCCGTGCTGGAGAGCCACCACGCCGCCCTCGCCTTCCAGCTCACCACCCGAGACGCCAAGAGCAACATCTTCAAGAACACGGAGAGGTGGGCGGCGCCCGGCAGGCGTGGCAAACGCGGGGGGGCCGACGCTCCGATCCAGATGTTGACTTTGTGCCCTCTGCCGCCAGGAACCAGTTCCGGACCCTGCGGCAGGCCATCATAGACATGGTGCTGGCCACGGAGATGACCAGGCACTTTGAGCACGTCAGCAAGTTCGCCAACAGCATCAACAAGCCGACGGCCGCCATCGAGGAGAGCGGCCCCGCCGTGAGTGGACGCGCCCCGAGCAGGTCGGTAAGCGCGGCGTCGGGCGCCGAGCTCACGCCGCCTCTGTCCCCTCCCGCAGAGCGCCAACGGCGACGGCGACGGCGGCGGCCCGGCCAACATCAGGAACTCCCCGGAGAGCCGCCTGCTCATAAAGAGGATGTTGATCAAGTGCGCCGACGTGGCGAACCCCTGCAGGCCGCTCCGGCTCTGCGTCGAGTGGGCCGGGCGGATCTCCGAGGAGTACTTCGCGCAGGTGTGAGGGGGGGAACGCAGGAACGCCGCCGCCCCGGAGGAGCCGAGAGCCTCACTGTGGTCTCCTGTGTTCCCCCTGCAGACGGACGAGGAGAAGAGCCAAGGGCTGCCCGTGGTGATGCCCGTGTTCGACAGGAACACCTGCAGCGTCCCCAAGTCCCAGATCTCCTTCATCGACTACTTCATCACCGACATGTTTGACGCCTGGGATGGTAGGGACTCTTTTTCCTCTTCCACACCGAGTAGTGAGGAGTGGGGGAGTCGGTTTGTCCGATAGCTGCCTTCTTACTGCGGCCCGGGACTCACGGAGCTCCTCCTCCTTTTAGTGTCCGGGCGCCGCCGATAAACGGACCTCGCGTGTTTCTGTGATCCTTGAAGTTTCCTTTAATCTCGTTTCTGACTTTGGTAGAAACAAATCTCGCCTGGAACGGTTCTGACGATACAGAATAGAACAGGACCTCGGACATCGAGCCCCCCCGACCCCCCCAGAGGATTTCTCTCGGCAGGAAAGGGAGCGCGCTGCTTATCGCTCCTCATTCCCACTGAGTTCCTCTTTTAGTTTCGCCCCCCCCAAGAGGGAAACTTGTTTACTGTCAACGCAGCTCTGATGTCACGGAAAGATTCCAAACGCCAGCGGGACAGAGGGGAGGGGGGCCCGGGGGGGGAGGGGGGACAGGGGTTCACGATCGCGCGGTTAATAAAGAGGAAGAGCACTCGAGCAGAATTTACGTGACACGCAAACAAGCAGCAGTCGCTTTCAATTCAGCCGGGTCGCGGGGGGGTCACAAGAGGGAGGGGGGGTCATGGACAAGTTGGGAACCAGGATGTAAACGGGGACGACACAGAGGGGCCGTTTCACTAACTGTGCTCCATAGAAGTTAAAGTCATTAATCAACGAATCTTTCCCAGAGTGTTTTTTCTTTTCTTCGACCCCACCTGACCTCTTCTGTTTGTGTCCCCCCCCCCCCCCCCCCCCCAGCCTTCGCCGACCTGCCTGGTCTCATGGAACACCTGTCGGAGAACTACAAGTACTGGAAGGCTTTGGACGAGATGAAGTGCAAGAGCCTCCGTCCTCCCACTGCTTTGTAGCCGCCTCCGTCAGTCTGAGCGAATTCAAACAATCACCCCCTCCCCTCTCCCTCCCCCCTCTCGCCCCCCTCGACATTCCTGAAAACACCTCCACGAAGCTGTGAGCACCTCACAGATCACCCGACAATCTGCAACGAGCCACAGAACAGCACTTTAGTCCGATGGAGACATTTTCATCACAAGCATCTTTTATCCGTTTCACTTGTTTCAGTTTTTAATCTCCGTCAGACAGATGTTTTCACTGTAAACGAATAATAATAATAATAATAATAATGATAATAATAGAAGACGTTGTGCTTCTCAAACTGCCAACTCGTGAAGGTGCTCGGCCGGAGTGACTCCCGTCTTCTAGGGTCCACAGTGAGAGGGACACTCCCTGAGGGGGGGTCAAAGGTCATGTAGCTACCTTTGGTCCGGGGACCAGAGGGCCCCCCTGCGGTGTCGCCGGGTATCAGATGAGACTGGATCCTTTCAGCGCGCTCTCATTATATTTGAACTCATAGAGGCAACACGGTTCCGGAAAGCAGTTTTTCTTTCTTGCAGCACATTGAATTAGTTCAGAAATCCAAATAGATTAGTGCTTGAATCGAGATGCATCCAAAAACGATCTGAGCTTCTTCGGTAAATAGTGCAAAGTAGTTGTCACGTATTCGCGGCTCGATGTCCCGAGAGACAGAACATGGACCCAAAGGCACACAGAGCTCCTCACAGGTGCCTTATTCTCATGCTCACCTTCAACAGGTCCTGGTTCCTGCTCTGCAAAAAGAAAAAGCCATGCACGTAAATTTATATTTAGTCAGTGTCGATGCTTCCGCACCAACCATTTTTTTTTCCTTTTGTACCACTTTTTTCCAACAGAACTTGGATCACATGTGAATTTTGCAAGCAGAACTGCTACTGAGTCACAATGACATGACGTCATTCAATCAACGCCTTAATCGTGTAACGTCTCGGTGTTTCGCTCTGCTGTTACTGCAACACACGGGAAACACTGTCCTGCTAAATACTCACTAAACGGATCCTTTTTGCTTCGCGCTTTACATCCACACGGCCATGGTTCTGTGACCAGGAGCGTGATGGTTTTGACGGTTTATATTTCCTCTCGTTTGTCTCCGGCGTGCCAAACCCCGTGTCGCGCTTCCATCGTTCATCAGAATCAGAACCGTTTGTTGCCGAGTAGGCTGCAGACGGGACTCCTGCTCGAGTGCATTAAATAAAGAGCAGGGAGGATGCGCAACGCTCGTCTTTGGCGTGCAGGATGACGGGGGGCGGAGTCAGTGGGACCACGTTGCGAATTATTTTTCAGAGCGAATCGCGTCGTCTGTGAGACCTGATGTGTGTTTGGAGGACGAATACGTGTGCGTTAAATAGTTTGATGTTCTGTCAGAAACAGAAATGTATTGTTACACACGATTAAAGCATTCTTTCAATTTCACGTTGTCCGACGAGTGCTTTGACATTTTGGGGTACGCACCGATAAAAGAATGTTTAATACAAACCACACGGGAAGAACCGAGCATCAAGCTGCAAAGAAAATGACCGCCTCATTTTGATTTTCAGTTTTAATGTTAAATACTTTGTCATGGGGCAAACGGCGACCGTTCAACTATCAATAATCATCACAGTGACTCGTTAAAAGGTCAAAAGGTCAGAGGCCTCCGCTCTCCTCCAGCTTGTGGAACAGGGCGCGGCTGCGCAGGCCGGACTGCCGCTCTCCGTTCTTCCACAGGATCAGCAGGTGGTCCGTGGAGCAGGTGACCAGGCCGCTCTCCCCGAAGCTCACAAACATCTGACCAAGAGAAGGAAGACGACCGGCTCGTCACAGCGCCGTCAAGTACAACGTGAGCGCAAGAGGTCACGCCAATCCCACCTGGACCGCCCCCGAGTGTCCGATCAGATCGCCCGTCAGCTCCAGCGTCCTGATGCCCGCGGCCTCCGCCGCCTTCTTGGGCGCGACGCCGGGCGGTTTGTTCGAGCGGCCGAAGGTCCACATTCCAAAGAACCCTGGCGTGGGGGGACAGAGAGGGAGTCTGATCAGGGCCTCGATGTGCCGAAGAACGTTGTGAGACGGAAACAAGTTACGCATCAGGAGAAAGGCATCAGCGCGGTTGGGAAACATCTGACTAATTTAAACATCGATCCAGATGTTAACGCTTTCTCTGTCTCTGACACGATGAGAAAGACGCCGAGTGTCCTGACTGGATGAGCGGAAATAACATAACAAGCGATGGAGAGAAGATGAGCCTGTGCAGCAGAAGAGGCTGCAGAGACCATGAGAGACGGCGTGACGACCCCCCCCCCCCCAGTTTTTCTTCTTGCTGGCTCCTCTGATGCACACGGCACCACATCTGGGCGGCGTCCACATCAGCTCCATCACACTCAAGTGGTCTTGGAGCTTTTCTGATCAACTCTTATGTATTAGAACGTCTTCCAGTGGGACCGGGGGAGACGAGACAATGTCCTTCTTCTTCTACAGATGTGAACTACTTACCCTCCTACCAGCAGGGGGGCATTTGAGACGTGTGACACGTTAGTGTGTGTGTGTGTGTGTCACCTGAAGAGGCCGGTTCACCGGGTAAAGGCAGGTCTTGGATCTCCCACATCCTCAGGCTGCCGTCCTCAGAGCAGGACATCAGCTGGCTGAAACAGAGACACCGTCAGGAATGAGCGTCCACCCACAGGTGAGACTGCACCCGAGAGCCCTGGTTGAAGCTCTTCAGGTGCTTTATCTGTCCACTGGGTGGCGCTGCAGCTCTATGTTTGTCTCTCTGTACTTTGCTTTTTTTGTATTTTTTAAATACGAATCCCATTTTCCCCCAAATGTCTACATATCACTTTGAAAGAGCGCCACCTTCTGTGTGTTCATAGTGTCAACCCCCTGCAGCGGACATGTGGTGCCCCTGATGTGTTCGCAGGTCTCTCACCTGTCAGAGGCCAGCATGGTGTGTAAGACATTGGAGTCGTGGGCGCACTTCCTGTAGGCCACCACCGCCTTGGAGAGAACGCTGTACACGTACAGGCCGCCGCCCACCGCCGCCAGGATGTGCTGCGGGAAGCGAACCAGCGTCACGTCGGAACCTCACCATCAAAAAGAACGAGACCCGGGCGCCTTGAGTGACGCGCCACACCCGCCCCGCCTCACCCTGCCGTTGGTGGTCAGATGCTGGATTGACATCTCACTGGGTTTGTGAGCAGCCAATCGTATTTCGGGCTGCGCGCCGACTTGTGACTCCTCCCACAGGATGTGCTCGTAGCCGTGGATGTTCCAATCAATGGCGTCCCACAGGATCAACTCGCTGGCGTGGGAGCCGCTGGCGAAGAGCCCGTCTGAGGAAGACGTCGAAGAGTCTTTTCTCAAATATCGCGGGAAGGCGGGTTTGAACTTCACCGACGAGCCAGTTGAGCGGCGGACTGACCGTTGACGTTGATGAGAGCTCGAATCCGGTCCTGGTGGTCGGACAGGCGGCGGACCTCCGCCACCGACATGGAGGAATCAGTGGAGACCGTCAGCCTGAAGATCACTGCGGAGGAGAAGAAGCAACGGCCGGCGTTACGCTGCTGAGTGGAATTTTCATAAAATCATGACATCATTGATTCTGATCAACTGGACCTGATAAAACCCATTTGCTATTTTATTCAATACAAAAGAAAAAGAAAAGAACCTCAGATCAGGTCTCCATATAGACGAGAGGATCCGGAGCAGAAAGAACTAGGTTCATATGTCCATAAATGTACGTAAACAGTGACATATAATACACATGTCCTTTGGTTGGTTTGCACATATTCGGTCTCTCACCGATGTCTTTATCCACAGCAGCTGCTATGCAGTTCTTGGGCAGCTCTATCAAAGCAGTAATTCCTGCAAAATGCCAAAACAGGGCAACATTACTCGGCTTGTGTGCAAACGGGGGGGCGAGGATAGTTGGCGCAACACATCAGCCTGCGAGGGGTTTATTGTGACAGCCGACTGCTGGTGTTGTGTGTCCTCACCAGCGTCGCTGTGGTTCTGACTCTGACACTGCAGCTGAAAGTCCTCGTTCCACACACACAGCTCCTCGGCGCCGGAGACCCACACACACAGCCGCTCCAGCACCAGCAAGCACTGAGGGACACGCACAACACCACACGCAGGCGCCGTATTTAATTTGGACACGCACACATCAACACACACACACACACACACACATCAGCGAAGAAAATGAATCTGATACAATTAGCCTCAGGATGCTGTGATTAACCTCAATGTGGGAGCGAGAGGAGCTAATTACCATTTGTATCTTAAATCAGAACTGGCAGAACAGCCTTTGTGTCAAACATTTTAATTAGTAAATGATATATGGTGCCGATAGGAACTTGTTGGAGGACCAAGCGGGATGTATGTGTTCTATATATGCGCGGTTTGTTTGTAGAGATGTAACCTTCAAATCTACTTGAAATGGTTTGTCTGCGTGATGCATTTCAGACTCGTCAGACATCACAAGTGTCCACAAAAGCAAAAAGAAAAGAAAACGCTGATCACAACGTTTACCTTCACAGAGGACTGCAGATCGGAAATAGTCTGAACCCTGTGGCCGGTATCGGGGTCCCACAGCTGACCAGGTGAGTTGAGGCAGTTTGTTCAAACACAACAACAACAGAGGTTTTCTAGCGCGCGTTACAATGTAGCGCGCGTTACAATGTAGCGCGCGTTACAAGGTAGCGCGCGTTACAAGGTAGCGCGCGTTACAAGGTAGCGCGCGTTACAAGGTAGCGCGCGTTACAAGGTAGCGCGCGTTACAAGGTAGCGCGCGTTACAAGGTTGCGCGCGTTACAAGGTAGCGCGCGTTACCGTGTTACAAGGTAGCGCGCGTTACCGTGTTACAAGGTTGCGCGCGTTACAAGGTAGCGCGCGTTACAAGGTAGCGCGCGTTACAAGGTAGCGCGCGTTACAAGGTTGCGCGTGTTACAAGGTAGCGCGCGTTACCGTGTTACAAGGTTGCGCGCGTTACAAGGTTGCGCGTGTTACAATGTACCGCGTGTTACAAGGTAGCGCGCGTTACAATGTACCGCGTGTTACAAGGTAGCGCGCGTTACAAGGTAGCGCGCATTACAAGGTAGCGCGCGTTACAAGGTAGCGCGCGTTATAAGGTAGCGAGTGTTAGCTGAGTCTTTGGCGGTGAGGATACACTGAGACTTCGGTCCGACGAGGCCGTGATGAGCGAGGTGTGCGACGCGCCTCCTTTGTTACAGGTGAAGGTGGTCATGGCTGTGATTTGCTGAGAATGGCCCCTCAGCTCCTGCAGCCTCTCCCCGGTCTGACAGACACAACAAAGCACAATTAGCGCCACTGGGGTTCACACAATTTCACAAGGCACTGCAATGATGAACTTACCTCGACGTTCCACACCAAAACAAGGCCGTCGTCGCCTGCTGAGGCACATCTGGAAAACATACGATGAGTCGTTTCTTGGGAGGGAGACTCATAAGTGAGAGAAATACTTCAGTGCACGTGGTGCACGTAGTAGTCAGAGACAGCAGGCGATTCTCTCTCTGTGTGAGCAATCATTTCCCGTAAGTCCATCTCCTCCAGAGAAATCTTAACCAAACATCTGTCCTGGGGCTTTGAGCCCTCGCTTGCCCTCTGACCCTCAGCCGTCTACACCACCTGTCCCCAAAATCAACAGACAGGATGACCGGATGGACAAAAAAAAAAAAAAAGCAGAGAGGAACTGCCGAGGATACATTATCGGACTTCAAAAGCAATCTGTAGAGAATTTTCTGGCCTTTGCCCCCGACTGTGGACCTGTGTGCTGAGAGGACGAGACCCAGAGGACGGGGTTATTACTGAAGGAGACCAGGCGTGAAGTAACCCCCACCTCCTGACACACACACACACACTTAGTTCTGTTATAAATCCCAATCTGACCACTTATGCAGACCCACTCTACCATGCCAGCATGCAGCATGCTTCCACAGAGCAGCGCAGGGGAAGAGAGCAGGTGCAAAACCTTTATACGCATGTGTGTGTGTGGACGGCATTAAAAGGCTTCGGTTGTACTGTATTGTGCACACACAATCACATAGTGGAGATGATTGGGCTCTTGTCATGCTCTGTAAGTTTTCTGTAGGTGAGGATCTCCTGTCAATCACAGAGGGATAGAGGCCAGCCAAGGGTAGAGAGGAGAGGGGTTGGAAGGGGGGTGGGGGGCACAGAGGGGCGCGGGGGGGGCTGTAGGTCCGCTTACCTGAAGTCATCAATCTGCACCAGAAATCGAACAATGTCAAAATGTCCTTTCAGCACCTGCAGCTCAGTGAACCAGTTTTTGGGCTGTTCCTCTCCGATGCACAACACAGGGCCTTTCTGCAGACAGAAGAGGGAAAGTAGTGAGGTGCAGAGGTTGACAAGTGGACTCAGAAAGGGGGGGGCACTCAGAGGGGGGAGGGGGCTGGAGGGAGCAGGCGGCGCTGGAAAGTACCCTTATTCAAGGATTCTACTTCTACAATTCAAACAGGACTTGTTCTGCGTTTTAAGCAAATCCATTTCCTGTCTTTTTATACTCATATTACACCACGGTTATGAGGGAAACGTGACACTTTATAATGCACTTCACTTATGACAGCAACAAACCATTTAAGCTTATTAAGCTCATGTATTGGTATGTGGCCCTTATCGTACTTCAGAGGTTTTAATGGTTTCCCCTCTCAACATTTTTTCATTTTGGAGCCTCATTGAGTTAAAATCATATATTTCAGACAAGAATTAAGGATAAGGTGTAAGGAACATTGGTGGATGAGAGCATTTTTGTACTACAACATTACAGCAGGAAAAAATATTAGGTTGAAAAATGTTGTTTTTTTTAAAAGTAAAAAGTTAAAGTTAAATAATATCAGGTCAAAAAATGATTTAAAAGTAAAAAAGTATTAGAAAATGTCAAAAAATATTAGGTTGAATACAACTCATGGACAAAAAAAAATCGAAAAATATGAAAAGAAAGTTTAAAAAAAGGCAGTAAAATTGAAGAAAAGGGAAAATATGTTAGGTCAAAAAATATGGAAAAAAGTAGAAAAATATTTAATTGATCTCATTAACTTTTTTAACTCATTAACTCTTTTTTTAGATGCATATAAAGGTGTTAATTTTCAGAATAAGGTGAGTGCTTGATGAAATGTACTTTGGCATGCCCGATATAATGATAATTTATGTACATCTGAAGAAGATACTAAAAGTTGAAAAAAGATAAATAAATTCATGCATAAAACTAACGACAATTAATATGAAATAAATGTTTTTTGAAAAGAGGAGGACAGAGTTTGACAGATTGTATGGACACATTCCACTTTAAGAAATATTTATTCCACAATATAAAAGTACCTCCTGCAGAGTGTAATACAAGACAAAATACTCACTGTGCAACAATGTTTCTATTTAAATGTTGTAGCCTGCTGCGATCAAGCTACTGGTCACAATGATGTTAATTTTATATCAAGATCTACAATTCTATATGCTGATTATATCTGATAGTTACTACAGAGCACATACATGTGTAAGAGTAAAAAGTAGCGTTATCCCTCTGATGTGTGGACGGGTTGAATAACAAATTAAAGTCACGTCAGAATAATCGAGTAAAAAGGTAACGTTACTTGAGTAAATCTACTTCGTTACTTTACACCACCTGCGCCGATCTCACAAAGCTTCTGTTGTCGTGATACGTGAGGCTTTATGATATAAATTCCAGCAACATTTCAACGTAGGGAAGAGCAATAAACACTTATATCACGTTAATAAAGGAGACAGCTAACGTTAGCATGCTCAGGCTTTCCTGAGGTAACGTTAGCATGCTCAGGCTTTACTGAGGTAACGTTAGCATGCGCAGGCTTTCCTGAGGTAACGTTAGCATACACAGGCTTTCCTGAGGTAACGTTAGCATACACAGGCTTTCCTGAGGTAACGTTAGCATGCACAGACTTTCCTGAGGTAACGTTAGCATGCACAGGATTTCCCGAGGCAACGTTAGCATGCACAGGCTTTCCTGAGGTAACGTTAGCATGCGCAGGATTTCCTGAGGTAACGTTAGCATGCTCATGCTTTCCTGAGGTAACGTTAGCATGCTCATGCTTTCCTGAGGTAACGTTAGCATACACAGGCTTTCCTGAGGTAACGTTAGCATGCACAGGCTTTCCTGAGGTAACGTTAGCATGCTCAGGCTTTACTGAGGTAACGTTAGCATGCGCAGGCTTTACTGAGGTAACGTTAGCCGCCGTTACTTCTTACCTCCACTGAACCCTGAGCTTCCCGACCACCAAGAATCCAGCGAAGCATCACTTGTTTTTTCGGTTAACTGAAGGAAACAGAATGACGCGAGTTTACATATTTAACGATAAGTGGCGAAGGGGTGTTAGCATGTTAGCAGTGTTTAGCGTGTTAACGGAACGAGCAACAAACCAGCCAGCGTCACTTCGCTCGTCACTAGCGTCAAACCCGAAACCCGCGCTTAAATATCCTCCGCTGTATTTTATCGCTTTTGAGAGACGATGTGAGCAGTTAGAACACTTCCGTTAGCTGAGCGGATAATCTGCGCAAAAATGAGACGTTAAAGCAGAAGTGCGTCAGCCAGATTCATGTTTATTTACTGCGACCACAACAAATCGATCACGTGGCTCAAACTACGGAAGCTTCGGCTGGACAAAGCTGGTTTATTTGTATACAATTATTTCTCCTTTTTAGATAAAACTCAATCCTTTACCTTGAGTATGTTTTCAAAAATATAATAAATGATAGAAGAATGATATGCTCACTGTGGACCTCGGCTTTGACAATAAAAAAACGTCAGATAAAAAGTTAGTCTTCTATAAAACAAAGCTGTTAACGAAATATCATATGAATCATATGAAAAGCCCCCCAAAAGGTAAAGATACACCTAAATGGTACAAAATAAAGCTAAAGTCATTACAGCACACCCCAAAGTTCTTTCTCAGTCTAGTGTATAGTTTTCAGGTTTTTACATCATACTTGTGTTAAATGCATATTGGTTTAACCACAATCAGCTTCCAAACTAGTCATAAAACTGCTAATACATACACAGATGTATAGAGAACACAGATGAACGTTCAAGAGAAGTAAGAATAGAAAACATCTGTAGGGTGTCATTCTCCTCTGAACAAGTAGATGGCAGTGTGTCACAATCCCATCATAGCAGCGGCAGGTTCAAACTTAAATTAGATGGAAGAAAACCGGAATTTTTACAAAATAAACTCCTTTTCATTTATCTAAACGAACTGAAAGTCAAAATAAAATCATCAGAATTATTCTCTTGTATAATTTCGAAACACTCTCTTCCTGCAGTTCTTCTCACTTTCCCTTTTTTCGCTCCCCTCACATATCTTCCTCCTCCAATCTCCTCCTCCTCCTCCTCCTGCTCTCGCTGTCTCCCCTGTTAACACACACACACACACACACACATCACCCCTAGCTGTGTCTACTGCTGCTCCCACGATTGAGACGACACGCAGCGTAGGGCCTGTGACCTTCATGGTGGCTCAGATCTGCGGCTGGCACTGATTTCTGATTTAGTGTCGATCCGCCGCGCTTGTCAGGGGCTGCGAGGTGCTTTCCATGCGGTAATAGAAAAGCTTCAAGGGCAGCTAGAGAGAGGAGGAGGGGATCGGTTGAGGGGGAGCGAATGAGTTTTAGATTTGGGGATGGTGCGATGCTCGGTTTGTTTAACCGTCTGTCAGATATCGGAATGGGAGAGGTCAGATATGTCCAGAGATGTGAAGCAATATGTAATTAATGCAAAGGATGAGTGTGATCCGGGCAGCGCCCACAGGCACAATGATGCTTTTAGCTAAATGCTAACGTCAGCATGCTCATAAAAATGCAAATGTTAAGCTAGTTTTATTTCAACCACTCGACCACTAAACCCACTTGGTCATCCGACTGAAAATGCAAACATCAACCTAATGGTGACGAGAGAAGATTCAGAGGCTCACCAAAGACATTAAGGTCCATCATCTGTAACCATGACGGTATTTGTTCAAACATGTGCACCAGTCCACCCAAAGATGATGACATATTTCACAGAATAGGTGAAGAATGTGACCCAGAGGAAAAGTCAGAAGAATCGCCAAAGAAATTCGGCTCCATCCTCTGGGGACAAAGAATCTTTGCACCAGATTTCATTGCAATCCCCCAAAAAAGCATTTGCCGCATTATTCGTTCCCGAAGCGGTGGAACCACGACCCACTAAAAGGCCGACATCACTACGAACTCGGCCTGTGAAAAGGGAGAAATGAGACTTGAAGGGTGGCAGGAAATGAGCGGGGAAAGTATGATTCAAACACACGACAGGGTGAAGATGAGAGAAAAGACAAACAACACAGGTGAGCCCACACAGGGAGGCCTCCCGCCCCTCACTGGGAAGCGAATGGGAGGAGGAGAGTAAGTGCTTCCTGAGTGCAGTGGCGCCGACGAGGTGTCACATATGACCAATGGCGGGAATCATTTAAGAGGGGAAGTCATCATGCGATGGAACACCGGAACACTCGGAGCGGATCATAACGACAGGAAGTCAGCCCGCCCCTCTTCCCCCCCGACGGGCCCCTCCTCCACGCTGTAAGGAAAACTAATGGTTATTATGATGGAAAAGGAATTAAGCTGTAATTTGACAACGGGGCCAACAACGGTATTCCGTAATGGGATTCCCCCCAACCCCCCCCACCTCGCCCCTCGGGGGCGGGTAAAACCAACACACTTCGCTGTCCGTCTTCGTCCGGCTCTCACTGCTTCCTGCTTTTACCCAGCGAGGCCTCACTGATCTCGCCCCGATGCATAGGACCTCTGCCAAAAAGAACCAGGATGTTCTGCATCCGCTACGAGGTCAAAGGTCAAGATGCAACGCTATGAGGAAGTAGAGCGCACCAACATTGAACATTAAAATCCAAGACTCGTGGTCACTCTTCAGAGTGACTTGTTTGGTGGAAAGTAGTTCCAGGGCAAACCCCTCGTTTCAAGTGACCCGTAGACCTGCACGGCGCCTCTCGGGCCACAAGACCCAATTAAAAGAAAGTGCACGTGGATCTGATTGGAAAATACAGACACGTAATCCGCAGGGTGATGGTCGGAAGATGACCAGAGAAGACGCCTGAGGGCATTCAGGCTTGTCACTTTGATTTGTCACATGGGGATGACTGTAATTGCCGTGTTTCAGTCCTCATAGGTTAATTATGAGGCTTGACCTATCGCAGACACACACACATGCAGACACGCGCTTTCGACACGGCGACGGAAGGATCGCTTCCGTATATACGAGCCTCGAGGAAAGTTAGGAGGCGCACGGTGATGTGAAGCTGCCACTTGTCTTTTCACTGCGTATCATGCAGCTCGCTGTCCCTCGCCTCTTCCCTCCCCTCCCCTCCCTCATCTGGTGACCCACTAATGTTCTGTTCATTTTCTCTTATGAATAGATAATGGGCAAAAATCAAATCTCTTCATTTGCATGTAATGCAATTAAGAGCTTTTTCAAACGATGACAAATGGAGGCAGCAGCGAGACGTCAGTCAGCCTCGTCGGCCCGAGAGCAGAGACGCCCTCCTCCGTTTTAACCAAAATTAATAAAACCTTCAAATGGAATTTTCTCGCCGCCATCTGGCATAACAATCACCAGGGCACTCCCGAGTCTGCCCGTCAAATAAAATTAAAGTTCTCATGGATTTGGATTCACGGTTTGAAGGCATTAATACTGGAAAAACAACCCCAAAGAATTGGACAATTTTCTACACATTAATAAAATAAGAAAATGGAATTTGTGGCCCAGAGATGAAGGTCTGTGTTCCAATGAGAGGCCTTAGAACACAGGTCATCTTAGAGCTACTTAATGGAAACATGAATGTTTCATAACAGCATTTATATATTACGACTCAATTCCAAGCCAGGTTTGTAGCTTTTTAATGATCTTCAGGTAAATTAGGAAGTAGCCTGATTCTTGCTTATTCGGGGGTATAAATTCACATGATTTCATTCAGATTTCTCCTTACACACACACACACACACACACACACGCACACACACACGCACACGCACACGCACACGCACACGCACACGCACACGCACACGCACACGCACACGCACACACACACGCACACACACACAGAGGAAATTAATGAGCTCTCATTCATAATCCCGTCTAGAGAAAGCCATATTCACCCTTGGATGGTTTATTGACTGATTTCATTTATTTGTGTGAAATAAATAGGAGGTAAACATTGGCTCGCTCTCACATTTTTCGGCGACACACTCGCTGCACAGCATTCTGGGAGAAATGATCCCACCAGCAGCAGGGTCACTGATTGGCTACCTCGTCACTGTGTGACAAATTACCCAATGAGAAAAAGGTTACCCATTCCCACAAACTAATTAACCTGTGTGATAGTGAAACAAATTATTACATTTATGTAATATTATTTCACATCTGTCACTAGACTGCAAAGATCTTTATCCGATTGCTTCCCCGTCGCCCGGACCTCTTTTTCTCTGTGATTATAATCCAGACATCATGGAAGCTTTACGGAACAACACTGATTTATTGTAAAGGACTTGACTGTTTCAGCACCTTTAATTCAAATCCAAAATGAGCGTCTTGTTTTTTGGTCAAGAAGGTTCCACTTCCACAGGGATTTGATTTAATTTCATGCTTTTCACCGTTTGCTCACTATCTAGTCCCAACAAAATGAATAACACGGCCACGTATAAGTATAAAATACGGCAGGATATCTTAGAACGGTGTCCTGCTAACACAAAACGTCCACAAAGACAATACGTGAGACACAGGACACATGCAGCTGGTCGGGAATAATTTAACGTCCTGCCACGTGTGTAAATAAAACGAATGAGATAAAACATATTTCGGGGGTTAAAAGTTCAGAGTGCTGCCTTTAAGGCAATCTAGTATAAAGCGTGTTTTATATTAATTAATTAATTAATAGTTTTTCAGTTAGTTGCGATCTGCAGCCTGGCCACTAGATGTCGCCACATTCCTAAACGCTGCACTTTTAAAAGAGACCAATATCGCGGCAAAGAGACAGGGAACATTTGTAAAGTAACAACACATTACCAGCTGAATCATTTCCACATAGCTATTAAATATATTTTACTTACCAAAAAACGTAGGCCGACGCGGTCGGAGACTCTGGGCTGCAGATGAGCGGCGAGGGACAGACGTCTCGCTTCTTTCACACTCCACACAGGTTGTTATTTCATTTTTATCGATTTCTTATTTGAAGTCTTCGGACCCAACCGACGGCGAATCAAGTGACTTAAAAACAAAGTCTGTGCTGCACTTCGGTGACAGATTCATGCCGACTAAGCCTCTGATTTCATTTGCATCATAAGAGAAAATCTAAGACGAGGAATAAGAATAGCAACGACGCACTGAGAGAATAAACTCACATGAAAAGCCAAAATATCTGCATTTGCAGCTCAGTTGCCATGACGCCGCCATCTGTAATTAAATGAACAAATCCTGTTGTTTGTTGTATTGCTAATAACTGTGGAAATGTCATCAAGAGCTTCGTCAAACATGGAGTTAATTGTTTAAAGCTCTGGAAGTTCTCTTGTTTCAGGCTTTTTATCAAGCCGGTTTGGGATTTATATGTTGTGTTTTTAGCTAAACGATAATAAAATGAAGATTAGCACCTTTGGGTCCGTTCCTAATTCATCAAGTTGGTCCTCATCCCGATTGAGTTTGACACCTCTGGTTCTGCCTAAATAATTAATTGGGAATTGAGCCTTTTGTGTATGAATTGCTCCTAGATGACCTCTATTCTTCATCAAACACTCCATTTGTCCACTGAGAAGAGAAATTCACGTTGGACATTGATCAGTTTCTTCAAACAGGAAGTCATGAGAAACCACCAGAAGAGGAAGATGCTTAAAGTAGATCCGCTGTGTGAAAGTATAGAACGTACAGACGGATTATCGGAAAACAGTAAGTATATAAAAAGGTATCATGATGTAAATTTCAGAGTGGTATTTCATTAGTTATAATATTGGATTCTCATTATAGATATTAACTTGTAAGCATTAGCTGATTTGGGGCTAATTAAATGGTTTCATCTTTAACAATTCCCCTTTATGCGTAACTTAAAAACTGCTCTTATGTTTCTTAATGTAAAAAATAACTCTGGAAAGTGAACTATATCAGAAAGATGGAGTAAAGAAAGTATAGTATTTCCTTGAGAAATGTAGTGAATTATTAAGTGTAACATCCAAATAGTTACTTAATCAATTAACACAACTGGTTTTAAAGCCTCGTCACACTTTCACTGTGCATGTAATTGGTTTATTTATTGGTTTAGAACGTATTTAAAGCGTCTGGCTGATGATGGAATCACTCATCACATGACGTCATAGATTCAACCAAAATTATAAAAATAATTTAGAATGAAATAACCGATTTAAAACTCATCTTAGAAGCGTTTAAACCGTTTCGCTCAACACAAGTATCTTTGGCTTTTAGGAGACGCCTTTTTCCAAAAAAGAGGAGGGTTTGATTCATGATGTGACATAATTGAAAATGATTTTTATTTGATAATTTACATTCAATTGATATAAACATGTTCATGAAACAAAATGGTTCAAACATTTAAGAAAGTCATAATTTCATAATAAGCACAGACATACTTGTTGGAAACAGAAGTTATCACAAACTGACCAAATGGGAACAAGAGTGCTTCCGCTACACAAAACATCCTATATAACAGATTATAGTTAATTCCGCCTCCGTGTCTTAATTTATAGTATTTCCCTTGTCTTTTTTTTTGTTGCCTTGGACAGCACATGCAGTCAAGTCCTCCTCCACGATGATTCCAGGTGAATCTTTCTAGTTCCTTTAACCTCCAGGTGTCTGCAGGGCCACTGTGCCCCCCCCCCTCCCCCCCCCAGAGGCGCGTGCTGTGCAGCAGGGGGGGGGAAAGGCATCAGAACCGAGTTGTTTTTTGTATTTCAAAGTATCTCCAGAATTTGTCTTCACAAAAAACTGTCAGTCACCGTTCACTGAGGGCCGCATGTGCCGAATAAATAAATAAATACAGAACAAATAAGTTAATTTAAATAGATAAATAAATAGTTGCCACACATGCTTAATAATAAATTATAGCTTATAAGAGAACCATTTGGAGGCTGGATGAAGCCCAACAGGCCCGGTGACTCGCTTCGGGGTCCCCGACTTGTTTGTGATTTGGGGAGGAAATAAAAATACCGGATATGCTGTGCGTTTTCTTATTGGATCAAGTATCCTGGTTGCATTTCTCCCGGTGCGCCGTTTGGATTGGATGCAAAATAACTAAACGCATCGTGTCAAAAAAAAACAACAACAGATCTTCCCCGCTCGTGGCCCCCGCGTCTCTAGGTGAAACTCATGGATACTGTGTGCTCCAGCGCTTTGCGGCGCAGCGACGCGATGCTTGTCCCTCTCCAGACCTCGCTCTCCGGGGAGCTGCACAGCTGCGGCGAGTGGGTCATGTTGGTCGGGCCCGACAGGGACGCGGACACCATCCCGGGGAAAGTGGGCTGGTAGAGGTGCGACTGCAGCCCGGAGCCGTTCGACATGTTGGACAGGCCCATGGAGTTGTGCGGCTGCCCGGCGCCCAGGCTGCACTGGGAGAGGGACTGCGCCATGGCCTGCTGGCGGCCCAGAGCCTGCGGCAGCTGCAGCTGGGACACGCCGGGCATCCCCGCCGTGGCCCAGCGGCCGTCGTTGGCGTGGAAGGAGCAGAGGCTGTCGCCCATGGCCGCCGCGGCCGCCGCCGCGGACGGGAACTGGGACAGGCCGTGGTGCGTCGGCAGCAGCGTTCCCGGGGACCGGAACACGTTGGTGGTCTTCTTGCGCTTTTTCCACTTGGCGCGTCGGTTCTGAAACCAGACCTGCAGCGGGACAGAGACGGCGAGGAGTTATGGGCGCGGTGCATGCGGCGGGTCATAAAAAGGTTGTGACATCGGTCCGTGATCATCACGGTGATGTGAACCGGCGGCGATAAATCCGCTGCAGAAAGACACGGATTTATTGTTTCCTTTTCAGGATCTTTTTCAGCCGGTAACAACGTGCCAACCGTTTGCGTTCTTATTATTTATTCATGGAGGTCTCCAAACACTACAAATGCATTTATAGCGAAAAAGCAAATGTATATTTTGATTTATTTCAACTGACTCCCAGTAAATTGTGGAAACATTCAATTCGTTTTCAGCCTCTGCAGTTATATCACATTTTATATTGTTACAGTTCTAACAATAACAAGCAATGTCGTACAATTCTGCCTTAATAAATTTATATTTTTAATTCATAGTTTTATGTGTAATTATTTTTCGCTTTTTTCTGTTAAAGTTGATGTTTGAATTTATTCAGGTGAAAAAATATTTAATAACCCAACATCATTTGCTCCAGTTTTTCTGCCTTGTTTCGATTCTTTCAAAAGCGCGCGCTCACGTGATATAGATACTGTTATTGCTGTGACAAGCACACTTTATTCGCTGGGGGGGGTCGCGGGGGGGCTTGAGCTTTCTGTACGTTCTGTTGTAAGCGGCGTCGCTGCGTCTCTATGATTAATGTGGAGATTTGCTTGAGAAAGTGGGGACGCGGTAATAAGAACGGGAACCCCCCCCCCCTCAGCCAGCCGTGAAATCCAGGCTGAGATGCATTACACTTCAAGAAAAAGAAAACCCAATTTCTCATTCTGTATTTTTTGTTTTTTTTTAAGACAGAGTGCGGCATTAAGACGGAGAATATCTGTCCCTTCTTATTCCCATCACAGCAGACGACATGTCACTAATTATTATTTAACAGAAATATCGACCAAATTGACCGATGCTATAATAAAAATAATAATAATAATTATTATTATTATTATGAACAACCGCTTTACTGCAGTTAAAACGTTAAAATGAGGAACATAAGAAGAATGAAATGTCTTGCAGTGAAGACGAGGACAATTTGTTTATAACAAATAAAATAACAAACTGATGACATGTTAGCATGTTGTGCATGGGATTTTTACGTGTGTGTGTGTGTGTGTGTGTGTGTGTGTGGTTGGTTGAGGCGCGTGTTAATCCGCAGGTTCGAATCTCAGGTCCAGACCAATGTCACTAAAAGACATTCAACTCACACACACACGCTCACACACACACCAGAACTCCTGCTTTGCTGTAAAATACCGTATATTTGTATTTCCTATTGTTATTTGTTTTTTTTTCATTTACATGACTTGTAATGCATGTTGTTGTTTTTTATAGAATAAATTGGCAAAATTTGTAAAATTAAAATGTTTTGCTTTTTTATACTGGTATGTTTTTTCTTTATTATTATTATTTCAGTATAACCGGAAGATGACGATTAAGCTTGATTTAAACTTAACGGAAATAACGTACGAAAAGAACATGACATGCTTAAGTTTAAATTAATTAAAAATGAAAACATATTTGTATTTTCTCCAGAAAAAAACACCAACGGCTGAAATTAGTATATTTAATTCTTGCACCCGTGAAGAAAAATGAATGGCATTTTAAAAAAATCGTAATTTATTATCCAACATAATTTGACGAATTTGTATGTTCAAGATGTTCGTTTACATTTTTCCGAACAGGTTTTGGAGATCACGTTGCACTGACTGAACCAAATAAGACATCGGATACAAAATAGTTTTGATTTTCTACATTTATCACAATGACACATTTTTTTATCCGTCTTAATTATCGAGTTTTTAAATGACTTATTTTACATCTACACTTGGATTCGTTCCCTCAGCCCTGACCCGTCTCACCCTCCCCGCCGATAAATACATGGACCAGACCCAGACCCGTACCTGCACCCTGGACTCCGTGAGCCCGATCCTCAGAGCCAGCTCCTCCCGCATGAAGATGTCCGGGTAGTGCGTTTTGGCGAAGCTCCTCTCCAGCTCGTTGAGCTGCGCCGGTGTGAACCGGGTCCGGTGCCGCTTCTGTTTCTGGCTCTGGCTCTGCTGCCCCCCTCCGGACTGGTTGTTGTTGTTGTTGTTGTTGTTCTGCTGCTGCTTCTCCTGCTCTTTGCTGTTGACCTGCACCGCGTTGGATCCGCCGCCGCCGCCGCCGCCGCTGATGTCGTCGCCCGGGAGCATCGTGGCTCCTTCCACGCCGTCCGGGCCCGGGCCGAGCTCCCCCCCGGAGTGCCCGGGATCAGGCCCCCCTCCGCCGAGCCTGCACTTCAGAGCCTCCCTGTGGCCCAGCAGCTCCGCGGCGGCATCCTTCATCCCTGCAAGACAAAGCGCAGAGGTGAGACGTTTGAGCAGAGAGCGCGTTCCGCTGGGGGGGGAGAAGGGACACATGTTAGACCAACGCGTCAAACGTGCACGTGCATTCAACCACATTTATAACACAGATAAATGAATATTTAAACAAAAAAAAACTCTTTGAGAGACACAACCACAGCATGCACAATAAAATCTGCTCCTTAAATACTCTTAATTCAATTGGATCTCGCCGATATCTTAGGAAATTGTTAAATCAAATTATGCGGTAATATAATAATAATAATTACTTTTCCAATGAATTAAGCGAGTTTAGCTCACTTCGGTCGCATTAAGAGGAAATAAGAAGCAAATTGACAACATTCAGCGCTTGATTTAGGATTAGAAGTGCCTCAAGCTTACAGTAGAGTTGAAGACCGGAGTTTGGTGATGATAACTCACCGAGGCGAGCATCCAGCAGGTCGGCGTGAGAAAGCATCGCGCACCGCTGCGGCGCGAAGTGCTATTCCCAACTAAAAAAGATCTCTACGACTTTAACCTATTTAAGAAATATATATATATAGAGTAAATGAAAGCAAATTCGGTTTGTGGTTAAAAGGGAGGTTCGTTGCATTATAATGTAGTTTAGAGAAATGGGGAGGCGCTTAACAGCGGAGTGAACCCATGAGCTTCTCCAAACGAGGACCAATCACAGCTGAAGCCGGAGGTTTGTCAGCTTTAGCCCGAGACCCCCCAGCACCTCCTCCTCCACCCTCCTCCGTCCTCCTCCATCCTCTCACATCCAGAAGTTCATTCCTCCTCATTCCTGTAATTGGCTTTGATTTCTCCTCCAAATTACATCCAATAAAATAAGCTGATTTAATATCTGCGTGAGCGTTCGACCCGTTCAACAAATGTTGGATCACCACAAAATTTGCTTAATTTGGTTTTTTTTCTTGTTAATGTTGTTTTTACAGTAGCAGAATATAAGGGGGTTTATGAGCAAGAAGCACGTGACTGCATTAACAGACGCAACACCTCGAAAATGAACTCGAGTCTGCAGCGTGAAGCCTTTTTTATTGTCTCCATAATGACATTGTCTCCGTCTTTAAAGACACTAAATGCCTCTTGGAGACCAAGCGAACCTCCTCTAATATGATTTCCCAGTCAGCCAGACAACAAACTTTATCGATCCTAGCCAGGCGCCATTTTCAGCCATTAGGCTTTTATGTAATAGGCCGAATCTATGGGCCTTTATTCCGCACATCGGATCAGTTTAAATTAGCGGTGATTTACTAGTATTTAGGCCCAACTGTCAAGAAGGGAGGGACCTGCTGCAAGTGATGTGTGAACGAATTAACTCGGAGGGAAGTTCAACACGAGCTGTGAAGGTTCTCCTTTGATAAATACAAAAAGGGGACACATGGTGGGACACGAGGAGAGGAGGAGGAGGAGGAGGAGGAGGAGGAGGAGGAGGCCTCGAAATCTGAATGATTTACTCTCGATGAGACCGTGAAAAAACGACAAAACACACACACACACACACACACACACACACACACAGTCCGTCGTAATATTTAAGGAATAAATCAGACACACTTCACACAGATGTCGGGATGTTTTGTAAGCGCGCAGATTTCTTTTGTAATTTATCATGTGCGGGGGGGGGGGGGGGGGGGCACAAAGGAGGCGTCCGAGCGTGAACCCGCTTCTGGCTTCTTCTTCTTCTTCGTCCATGCAGCCTCCTGTCGCCTCTCACCTCGGCTTTTATCTGTCCGCAATCTGGTGGCACGAGGGGGGACACAGCGCGGGGGGGAGCGGCGGGGGGGGGACACGGCGCGGGGGGGTCTGTGGAGCACGAGCCGCGCACCGGCGACGTGAGGGGGGAGAAGAGAATGTTCTGCCCAAGAAAATGTTCTGCCTCCATTCTCCCGAGGAGAAGAAGGAGATGCGCTCGTGGAAATATTTATTGTCCTGTCTTTTATTTTTTTTAGAAGCTGTTCTAAAGGAAGATATATTATATAAATATATAATTTATTCTGTTTATATATAAATATTCTGTTTATTCACACATATATTTTTTATAATAATGTATCGTATTTATTTGACATAATTATAGAGACATCGATGTGTATTATTTAGATGCATAATGTGACGTAAAGGATCATTTAAATCATCACATCGCGCGGTGATGGAGCGCGCGCTTCACTTTACGAGTCTTCTCCTGCATGGCGGCAGGTCATGTTTAACCCCAAAACATCCAAACGGGGGGGGGCTGATGAGCTGTCAGGAGGCGCGAGATATTGTTTCGTATTTGTTTTTCATATTTAGTTCAATATTTACAAGCCAAAGAAAAAGCTGCGCTAGAATTATTTCCCATGCCGAAAGTGTGTTTTCCTTACTGCTGCATGCAAAACAATACCTCAGATTTTATTCGAAAAATGTGGATAATAAAATAAAATTTTCAATGCATTGGAGCCTGAACTTAAATTTGTAATATCGTTATTTTTGTAATATCGCCCAATTTGAAATGTGGTCATCCTAAATGCAATGTTGCAATGTATTCAGTTCAACTGCTTCAGAGGCATAATTTCACTTAATAATGTCCACAGATGTGTGCGTGTGCGTGCGTGTGTGTGTGTGTGTGCGTGTGCGTGAGAGAGACACAGACAATTGAAGGTCCTGGTTTCGCTGACTTGATGAGGCTGTAATTAGAGTAAACAAGGAGCAGCGCGCGGTTTGCTACATCTCCCCACTAACGCGCTGACATCCATCTCATCCATGACATAAATAAAAATAGACAAACAAATTCGCCCCCGGCAAGTTAATGCGGTGCATCTGTGCGGAAAGTCGACGCTTTCACGCGCCGTGGAGACGAGGAGTGACTTTTGATAAAGAAAAACACAACAACATGCGAGTGCGACGCCGTGATGTGAGCGGCGGATCAAGGTCGGAGCCTCCGGGTTCGTTTCGCGCCTCCGGACTCCGAAGTTGAAAGGACGGCACAGTTCGGCAGCACGCGGGCCTCGAACCCGCGACCCTCTCGGTTTGCACGCGCGGCTTCTCCTCCCCTCCGATCCGCCCTCGCGCGCTGTATTCACTCAATTAGAGCTTCGTGAGGAGGAAAAACAATCGATCTTCCATCTGCACGAGTGCCAGGTTAACAAATGAGGTTCTTGTTTCATGCAGCTGATCTGGGGACAGTCATGGAGGGACTAAGGAGCAGCGGCCCAATAACCCACCGGGTCGGAGAGGAGCGGGAGCAGCTGATGCCACTGGCCTGTGATCTGCTACTGCATTATTATTGCGCCATGCAGTAGAATTCTAACCCTTTAAGGACATGTGATTAGTGATTTTATGGGTTCATCTCATTGTATTTGCTCATTCTACGTTATTCATCTTTGGAGAAAGTATATTGTTGAAATATTTCCCACAGGATTGTGGAGTACAAGTGTCATAAAATGACTTGAGTAACTTGAGCAAAGGCCCATCCTTCTCATTATTAGACTGCAGAAGTCGGGTCAGCTCGCCTCAGAGGTTATGCACAGGTCACATCTTTCATTTAGTGCGAGTCTACTTGGTTTCTCTGATAATTCACAGCGGACGAGTCAAAGCAGAGGTTAGAGCACCATTTCGTTGTCAGTTTTAAGTAGCAGCCTGACTACTTTAAATCAGAGGAACAGTTTATTACCACAGTGTGGTGCTTTTACTTGAGGGTTTCCTTTTTAATGCTTTTATTCTATTAAAACAACATTTATTGACATTCGGATTCCGACCTCATATAAACATCAGCTTGTGAAATAAGATGCATTTCCGAGCCCTCCAATTAAACATTGAAGGCAGCTTTTAAATCCAAGTTCTAGTCTAATAAAAATATAATCGGATAATAAATATAATCCCACGAGCGGGGAGGGGGCACTTTGCTGCCCCGTGGATGCTTTTATTTTGGTAGTTCAGGTCAAATCTATCTGATAATCCTGCCAGAATGCCACACAAAGCGCTGCAGTCACACGTGGCGTTGCTGCCTCATTATGGGACGTGAAGACGTGTTACCCAGCAGCCACTGCGTGTTCCGATCTGCTCGGGGTCCCGTGGTCACTCCAACCCAGATGTAGCGCCCCGCCGCCGCATCTCATGCCTCAATTAGCGCCGCTGCCCCCCTGCACGGACTCGATTAGGCCGTGATTTATCCGAAAGAAATATAATTATACCTCCAAATAAAATAATCAGCATTGAAGAGCGATTTCCGTAACGAGATGGAGCGGGGTGGATGTCACGGAGCAGCAGCGCCTCATTAGGGCGCTAATGAGACTTCGGGGTGATCCCGATAATTATCGAAATCTGTAAAATAAGGATCAAGTCAAATGTAACCTTAATTTGTCTGGCAATTGAGTTCATTTATTAGCAGCACTATTTAGGAAGCACTCGCTCGGCCTTCATGTGAGGGGTTGTTATTTTAGGCCATTCGGACACCAGCGCTGGTTTTATCCTTCAGAAGTTTGTCTTTTTAAAAAGTAATTCCTCTTTATTGCAGCTTCCATTTCACAGCTAAATCAAACAAATGACCATCAGTTAAGTGCTGAAACCACCAGTTTATTAATCCAATCAGAGATGCAAAGAATTACATTCCCCAATTGATAGAAAAAAAAACATTCAGTCATTGTTTCAAGTTTCTAAAATCGGATTATTTGCCGTTTGTTGAACACTTTTTCACTCCCGCACTACAGGAAGGATTAAACAAAGATAATAATCGTTGATCGCAGCTTTGGTTAGTATTCATGGACGCGAATCCGAGCTCGCTAAAGGAATGCAAAACCATCCGTTTCCAACACTGTGTCCCACTTTAAACCAGGAGATTAAAGGCGATGCCTGAACGTAAGACAAACATGCCTGGGTGTGGATTTAATGACGTCTCTAAAGTCCAGATTGTCTATCAGTGCCACAGACAAAAAGAAATCCCCCCCCACCGGGATGAAGCCAATGTTTCCCTGTCAGGTTTCTGTTTATTAGGAGGCGTGTGATCAGAAGTGGTGGCACGTTGACGGTGAGTACACAGGAAGCAGGTAAAAAATAAACCACATGAGCAACAGAGACCCTCGGGGGTCTCCGAACACCCGACGAAAGGAACGGACACCCAAGAATCACAGATCATCCTTCAAGCTTCACCGAGTCCAGCATGTTTCTGGCCTCTTTGTACTCCTCCGATTCGCCCAAATCCGCTTCGCTTTCCTGGAAAGACACAAAACGCACACACACGCACACTTTTAGTCCGATGCCATTTTAAAAACGCCGTCGCCATCTCCTCCACCCGAGAGCGGAGGAGTCTCAGCCACGCAAGAGTCAAGAATCCTGCTCCCCGTTGGACACAACGGCCGTGTTTCAGTCGGTGTGACGCGACGCAGATCTAAACCCGGCGGGCCGGCGCGTTGACCCGCGCCCTTAAAATATCGCAGCACGTGCCGGTTCCTGCGGCGGCGAGCGTGTCTCTTGTCGACGGGGACCGAGGAGGTGAGGATGAGTGACGGGTGCAGAGCTCCACCCGCCCACCGCCAGCTGGCTCGGCGCTAATGGAGGCGACCCCGCGGCTCTCATGGCGTCTTCTCGCCGCGAAGGGATCAGACACGAAAAACTGTTAACTGGTGGAACGTGAGCACTTCATTGAAATCAACCCACAAGAATATTCCCACAATGCCTTGCAGTAGGGTCATTTAGAAGCAGTTAGCGGCGTGAGCGACCGCTGGCGACCTGTACGGAAAATTGTGAACTTTAGCTAAATGCTAACCTCACCTAGCGCGCTAAAACGCTCAGTTTTATTCATCTTTAATGCTGTTTTATGTACGTTTCATCTCTTCTTTTGGTCTAAATTTGAGCCATCTCATATATACGTAATGTGTTAGCAATATTAGTTAAACAGTTTATTGTTCCTCGACCAAAAACACAGTTTTAGGAACTAGTCAAACCATAAGCTGTTATTTTAAAACCAAGGGATCAATACGGCGCCGCCCTGCAGATGGATTCAGCCTAGTTTCACTTTTTAGTTCCACACACACGTAGCTGATGATCTAAATCAACTTAAGAGGCTTCATCTCGCGGTTAGATTTGTCGCCAACTACAACGCTGCTTCTGTTCCGCTGGGTGTCTAAAAAGTGGTGAAATTGTTCGTCAGCCCCCTTGAAGAGAATATTATATGACACAACTTGGCCTCTGACAGCCTGTTTGAATCATTTCTGTCCCCAAATTATTAGTGAATGCAGCTTGACTTGGAAAGACATTTTAAAGAAATCAATTGAGAAACAGCGAGCGATGAAGCCTCCAGATCACATTCAGTTACAAGCGATAAGGAGTGAAAACGCGGCGCTGCTCGACGGGAGGGAGAGAAACCCGATTCCGTGTGAAGCTACGCTACTTTCTGTGATCAAGGGTTGTTATTGGTCGTCACGCGTTTCCATCATCATCTCGCAAACACAATAGGAGCACGTTCCTTCAACGCGCCCACGATTTAGTTCCAGCAGCGAGACGAGCGGATCCGAGCGCCGCGGATACAGATGTGCGCGCCGCTGTGAGGCTCACTTACCAGCAGCTGGAGCAGATCTGCGTGTGCGATGGTCAGACGGCGGTGGCAGTCCGGGACCATCATGTGCGACTCCTGCAAGACCTCGATCTGAAACCAGAGCAGGGGGGGGGCGTCGTCAGGGCCGCCAACACCTCTCGTGCACCGTATGCAACACTCATCACACTAGACAGAACCAAGCATGTTCATCTCGCTGGAACATGTCATCGAGTTATTGCCCCGGGCCCCCCCCCCCGGGGGGGGGGGGGGGGGGTCTAACGCTGTCGGACACACTCGCTCGCTGACAGATGCTTCCTCGACCCCGCTCCCCCCCCCAATCACAGGTGGAGACGGTCGCACGTGTGACTCTGGGACAACTGGCACCAGATGGGCGATGGAGTCCCGATACGAGAAGATGAGGCGGACTAAGCAGAGGAGTGTTGGAACAGACAAAAGTCATGCTGCCCCCCCGTGCAGTGGAATGATCCCACCAGTGCTGGATAGAGAGGACACTTACAGTGTATTGATTCCATTAAAATAAAAACCTGTGATCCATCCTGCCTCAGACCTCTCATCTCCAGCCATCATCCATCTGCCCCCCCAGTCGCCCAAACAGAAACACGGGAAGAATCTTAACGACTCGGGTAACATGATCAGAAGAAGACGCGCCGCCCGGCGGTCCCCTCGGTGGCATCGAGGGGACTCTGTGGAACCAATCGCATCGTAGCATTGCCCATGTGTGGATGAAATAAAGGTCAAAGGTCGGTTTGGAACTAACTTTTGTTAACACAAAGTCCGGCTCTGGCACACGTTTTTCTTCTCTTTAGGAAAGAAAAGCGTGCTTCAGACAGGAAGCGAGCGGCGTGACACGTAACGCACTTCCATAAAGCAGCTTCCTCTGAAGGGAGCAGCCAGATGATGGAGGGAGACACAATGGAGACGAGGGCAGCGACACTAAATCACCAGCATGTGTCAGTAATTATCAAACTCCTCTAAAGTAACATGATATAATTACATCCGCATCAAGCAAATTACTAAATCACTAATGGTCGCTCCTCTCAGAACCTAATCCCTCATTATCACCGCGGACCGACCCCATTACGCCAAGAGAGAAGATACGAGTCCAACTAGGGAAGCTTCTTCAGCCCCCCCACAACCCGGAATAAAGTTTTACTCAACTGTAAAGGTGGTAAAATAATATGAATTAGAACTGATGTGTTTTTGGAACCAGACGCATCGGCTTTTTTTTTAAAAAGCTCACCTGCTTCTTGATGACGTACGGGTCTCCTGCCTCCTCCTTCAGACGCTTAACCTTCTCCTCCTGCTGCTGGGCCTCCGTCTGGTACGAAATCTTCTCCTTCGCCAGCCTGCGGCAGCGACAGGAGGAGGAGAGCAGAAGACCGTTCACAGTTAAAAGGCGCTGACACCACGTTGTTCCATCAAAGGCGGGAACGGCCTCTCAGACGGGAGGACGCCGGCGCCGGCGGGCCGCGGCGGTCACCGTGTCACAGACAGGCCCATCCATCCTCGTTCCCTCCAGCGGCTCCGTGACTGAGATCATCTCCCCACCGGGCGCCAAGATACACACCTCAATAACAACCGCCAAACACATCAGTCCTCCTCGCCGCCGCCCCAGAGGAGGGCGATGCTTTGTGGGAAAACAGATGCACTCTGTACACAAAGGACGTCCTTCAGCACTTTCCATAGATTCTTCACACAAGTAAATACAGTAATTCTATTTAATCATCATGATTATTTAAACCATTTCTTTATTTACATGATTCCATGGTATTTTTTATTGGATAAAAATAAACTCAATTTGATATTTGTCAAATTGTTTTGAGTGTCTCAGAAATATTAAATTAACATTTTAATAAAGCAGACAAAAATCAATTTCACGTTGATTTCTTTTAGGCATTTTTCAGAGCCTATTAAATAATTTCAATTTAGAGAAATTTGCTTTAATTAAATATTGGAGGCGAGACTCTGCAGAGACACGGTTCACACGGAGATAATCTCAACATCAATAACGTGCATCTTTCTCTCTACATCCAGAATTCTGATTCAATCCATTGTTACAAAATAAGTACGCAAACATTTTCCAGTTAATTTACGTTGTATATGAACATTTTCTGTGTTGAGCAAACAAGCGGCAACACAATGAAAACAGCTTAACTGCATCGTTCATTCATCTTACACGACGATAGCTCACACACACACACACACACACACACACACACACACACAGTCCTTTTTAGAGATTAATTGATCATCAATTTACTCCCTAATTTGGACCAAGTCAGGTGGTAAATGGGCCTCTTTTCCTTGATTGTTAGTGAAAATGGGCTTGAGTACATTGATAAATTTTGATTATTTATCAATTACGGGCCAAATGGAACTAAATCTATTAAACAGATTCCGACTCTGATTGGCATAATGGAGTTTGAAAATATCGCTATTGATAATGATTCCAAACTAATAGTCCTCTTCCGGCTGCTTCTTGCCTGTCGCAGTGACAACACAAATGTAATTTTTCATAGAATCAGCTGCGTGTGCGTAAGTGGGCGATCCTTCATTAAATCAGCCGCATTACCGGAGACCCCGTCCCTCCGCGGTGCGCCGCTCCTCGCTCAGCCCGGAGAGCCGACGCCACTCTGTCATATTTTACATCAATTACTCATTCTAATAACTGTTCCATCAAGAAGCTTTTTAAAAACAGCCAGCATATGCAGCAGCAGCAGCAGCTCCCGCAGCACGCGGAGTGAGTGATGTCACCGCTTTGGAGCCAAAGATGGAGGATGGAAGGCTGGAATCATTTGAATAAAACTGAAGGACAGTCTAATAACAAAATGTCCATCCCCCCCCCACTTTTCCTGTGCTGATGTTAATTTCTTATTTCTCCCAGACTTGGAGCGCCGTGTGAATGAGGGGTGGGGTCGCGGCTGGTTTTAAATAGACCTGCCACCTCAGGCTTAATGGAAAAGGCAGCTCTCTGGAAAATAGAAAAAAAAAAAAAAAAAAGGGAATTAGAGGCAGCCGACACACATTCGGCCGCCTCCTCCGGCACTGTAGTTTTGAGCCACGGCGCCAGTCTGTGCTGGGACCGGAATGACAAAAGCAAATTACTGTTGTCATTTTATTAAGGGCGTCCGCCTCGCTGGGGCAGAAAAGGCAGCGACTGGAATGTGCAGAAAAGCCAGTGGAAATAAGTGGGCAAAAGAGAAGGCAGGTTTCCTCCAAACGCTGATGTGTAAAAACGGGAGGAGGGAGGAGGAGGAGGAGGAGAAAGAGGGAGATCATGAGGAGGAGGAGCTCCATGACCGTGTTTGTTTACAGCTTCATTAAAGCTCCATGTCAGCTTAGTGCTTTTGACCTGCAGCTAAACACCAGACAGCAGTTGGGGGAAATGCTGCGTGATGAAGGTATACGTTGGTCCCGATTTCCCTTCACTGGAGACATCGTCCACTGTGGGACATCCAGATACCACCATCGCCACCTCGGGGAGCCGGTTAGTAATCTGACCCTCATCAGAACACAATCAATAGCACATTACACGATCCCCGCTGACGGCAGGAATTAGAGGCCTGCAGGATCGACGGGAAAAGCCCCTCCCGCTCCATCGCACTTCTACTGAGCACAACATCCCACACAACTCCATCAATAGATGCTTGCAGGCTACGTCCACACCATCACGTTCCCGTTTTAAAAGACTCGCACCCTTTGTTATGTTAACGCCTTATTCCGCACTTCTAGGACGCCCGCCGCCAGAACGAAACAGCAGCGACTATCGATCGACTTTCAGCGGTTGAATCAACTTTGTTGATCTTGATCTTTGTAGTAGCTGAGTACTTATCACTCATGCAGCTGCATCGTGACGGGTTTTCAGGGTCTATAATAAAGAGATTGAGACTTTTTTTTATGCAAGACAAAAGGCACTTTGTTCAAACAGCTAAAAGGTTGAGTTGAAAAGAAATTGAGCACCGGAGGAAAAAAGTGCTGTTGATCCTTTTACGGTGCTGCTGCTTTTTTGCAGTAACTCTGGGAATTATGTGTTTCTTTTATTGAGAACTACTAACGGTACCTCCGAAGGGACTCTGCTGCTCCATTAGTAACTTGGCAGCAGCATTGATTAGGATTTAAATGTATTTTACTGCTCTCCTTGGGGGTGGTTTTATAAATCCAATCACTTATCATCAGTCACTACACAAATAACAGCACAAGGTGTGATACTGTTATATTAAGGGTCATGATGTGTCAAGCTGGATCTGTCTATTACTTACTACACTGCACATACATTTGGGTGAAACGCTTTGAATGCAACCGTCGCTGAACTCCCTAAATAATCTATTAATAACACAATTCGAAACATTAAATGTGACACAGGCGAGAGCATGATTGTGGGAAATAGCCTTTGGGTTACTTGATTGCACTCATTGATAGAATAAAAAGTGGACGTGTTGATGGCACCGTGACGGGTAACAGGGTGATGGCCAGTCAGGTCACAGGCCCCGATAGCAGCGGGGGATCCGGTGTCATCGGACGGTGAAGGCGTTTCCTACATCGCCACAAACCTCCACTGACGACTTAGTGAAAGGAGATCAAAACCAAAGCACCACTACAAAAGGTTCTCTCTTAAAAACAGAGTGAACCGTTAGCTTACCTTATGCTAACAAGATGTGCATATTTCAGTGAAAGCATCTCTGTAGCTTTCACTGAAATATTTCACATTCAAAAGCATTTCAGGGGAAAAAAATAGTAAACCGGATAAGAACGGTCTGTTCCATCAGCATAAACTACATTTAGCCCGAGAAAAAAGCAGCAGAAGAGCCCAGAACAATAAGAACATGGTATTAGCTATCAGCAACCAGCTATCACAAAGCTAGCATGAGTCGCACAACGTTAGCTAACGCTGCAACCACCACCAAACACGTTATTACTGAGGTACATCGCTCTTTTACCAATTACAAATTACGTGTATTACTACAGCAGAAGTGTTAGAACGATTAAGCCCATCTTCCGCAAACACAACTGAATAAAAATGCAAATTGACTATAGGCCGCAGCAAAGCACCGGAGTGCAGTTAAAGACCTAACCGACAAACGTTACTCCACACGGGGTTCAATGCCGAGGCAACCTCTCCACCTGGTTTAGCTAGTTAGCTTGCTAAGCTTAACTATACTATTAGTACGTACTTATCTTTTGACGTGCTGTGCCGAAACAAAAAGCCAACCATACCTCTTCACGATGCCAGTCTTGATCTTAATTTGCCGTATTCTTGGATCTGCCATGGTTCTGGATCGCGGGTATCACTGGGTTGAAGTCTGGACTCTGGACTGTTGTTGTAACGTGCGTAGGTTTCCTGCTGTCGAGTGCGCGTGCGCAGGTCAGGAAGTCGGTGAGGAAAAGCCGATGGCAGACAAATCGAACTCCAGGCTCGAATGATTGTCGAGTGAGTGGATCACACAGACGGATCCAATAGATCTGGCCCTTCAGGCTATGATGAATCACGTGTGTCAACTGAATAAAAAAAATACATCCTGAAAAAAACGAATGAAAGAAGCACAGCAAAGAGACACTTATGACCACTGCTCAACCATTCTTGCATAAATTAAATGTATTATTTTAATATTAGTTTTTCCAGATTAATAAATACATTTAGAATATACTATTTAATGTATTATAATATCATTTTATAAAATAAATTAAAAGGGCATATATTTATTCATTTATTTAATATAACAATGATACTAATAATATGTACTATTATTATTATTACTATTAGAATTATCATTATTATTATAAAGAAAAAAATAGGATGTAATCCAGATTGTACATGCAATTTAGATTGAGTTCAAGGGGTATGAACAACATTTGTAAACTATTGTGTGAAATTTGGGTGATGTCTTTTGGATTTAGAGCATAGCTTCACAATGAATTTAATTAGTGAGGTGGGAGGAATTATTCAATACATCTATTTGCACGTATCATGGCCTTTAGCGTGTGTCATTGTTAAATTCATGTTTCAATTCAAGAATAACTGTTAATGAGCTGAATATTTGTTAAAACATACGAAAACAAGCGAAAAAGTCAACTGAGTCCTGCTGTAAATCTTTTCCTATTCAATTGTGTTTGCATTGACTTTGCTTCTGACATTTAGTGTCAGTGAGCATTGAACTCCATATAGACACTGTGTCTAACTTAAGGTTTTATCAGCCTCAGAAGGAGCCAATTTCTTTATTTACACAGTTTATCACTTAAGCTAAACAATTGACATGGCTTACAAAGCTGTGTTACAAAGACAGCACATTCAATATCATCTGAATCTTCGTGCATCTGATATTGATTTGTGTGATCTATGAAAAAATAATCAATTTCATAGTTTTCTTCAAGGCTGCTTGTGAAGAATATATATAAATATATAACAATCCAGTCTTCAGCGTGCCAAAAAGGTCACGTTACTCCACTGAAGTTTCTTTCACACATTAGAAGACGTATTATACACAGTATGTTACAAAGGTTTCTTTAATTGCTCATCACTGATGATTACAGCAAAACGTACAACAGATGTCAAGGGTGGAAGAAAGGGAGACAGCTCAATGCAGGAGGACATTTACACCTTTTACTTGTGCCAAGAAATCCACAACCCAAATTATCTCCTTAAAGAAAAAACTGTGTTAAACCGTGTAATTTGCCATATTATTGAAATTAGTTGTCTTTTCATATTTTTTATCTGTCAGAATGGAAAAGAAAATAATCTTTTTATCATGAAAAAAACGTACACAAGTTTGAATAAAAAGTCTAACCTTTAGGTGTTTGACTGTTGGATGAAAACAATCTGTGTAAAAACAGTTTGACGAACACCCAAAGTCAGCAGCGCTTATGGCCTTGTCAATTATTACCTTTCCAGCCTTAAATTCAGGATACATGAAACATATTCTTAAGGCTACATGTGATTCTTAACATTCTCAATAGAAAAATACATTTTGGTTGCCAAGTAAGAGAGAACATTTTTTTACAATGCGTCATTTGTTCAATATCAGAACCTCTAATTTGAATTTGAGACTCATTAAATGCTTTTATTGTGTGATACCAGATAAAGCAACCTCAATTACACAATAAATACAAATTTAACCCAAACTTATCTGTAAGATCACAAATCTTGAGAGGACACTAAAATAAAGCCACTAAAAACTATTGTATATATTTAGTGAATATTTTCCTGCTCAGTTCAGATCAACCAGCAGAAACATGCGGCACCAGGATGAAATAATGATAACGAGCTGCTATTAATTTACATTCTACCAAGACTAAATAGGTTAACAGACGGGGGGGAAGAGGGGGGCAGTTGGGGGGCAGTTCATTCTCTCTGCAGCCGAAGCATCTAATGGTGTTAGGTGGCATTGGTCACGCGTTAGTCCACGACGTTATTTAGAAATAAATGTATTTTAATCAAAGAGATGTGATCCTGTCTGACACGCGCTTCTCTCCCACAGCGCGCGCGCGTGATTGCGCGTGAGAGGTAGGAAGCCCCCCCGCGGCTCCATGGCCGTTGATTATTGGTGTTTTCCGAGTTTTCCAAACTAATAAGTGGCACTATCAAGCATTTGGAAGACTTAATTGATATTGAGCGAGGCGCGGGAACGCGCGCACGAGGCCGCTGCTGCGGCAATTTGCAGTTTAATCAGCGTTCGTAATGAGGGGGGAGGAGGAGGGAGGGGGGGGAGGGGGGTAAAAGAGAGTTACAAGGAACGTCTGTCAGAGTCCGCTGATAATTCACGACTAATTGTGACGATCAGAGCAAACTGGATGACTTTGGACTTTCTAGTGGGCCGCGGTGCGCGTGCGCGTGTAGTCTCTATGGTGCGTATGAGCGTGCACGCGTGTGGGGAATTGCAATCGCAAAATCTCTACATTCCTCAAAAAATGAGTTATACATTTGGCAATTTATTTTGTTATATCCATTTATACTTTGGGGGGGAAGAGGAAGAGGAGGGAAAGAGGAAGAGGAGCAGGAGGAAGATGAGCAGGAGGGGGAGAGGAAGAGGAGCAGGAGGGAGAGAGGAAGAGGAGCAGGACGGGGAGAGGAAGAGGAGCAGGACGGGGAGAGGAAGAGGAGCAGGAGGGGAGAGGAAGATGAGCAGGAGGGAGAGGAGCAGGAGGAAGAGGAGCAGGAGGGGGAGGAGCAGGAGGAAGAGGAGCAGGAGAGGAAGAGGAGCAGGAGGAAGAGGAGCAGGAGGGGGAGAGGAAGAGGAGCAGGAGAGGAAGAGGAGCAGGAGGGGGAGAGGAGCAGGAGGGGGAGAGGAAGAGGAGCAGGAGAGGAAGAGGAGCAGGAGGGGGAGAGGAAGAGGAGCAGGAGAGGAAGAGGAGCAGGAGGGGGAGAGGAAGAGGAGCAGGAGGAAGAGGAGCAGGAGGGGGAGAGGAGCAGGAGGAAGAGGAGCAGGAGGAAGAGGAAGTCTCCGGTGGACTCTGCCCCAGTGAGGGCGAGATGTATTCCTCGAGCCGCGGCCGCTGCTGGAATAGCAAATGAGAAATTAGTGAGAAATGTGTGTATGAACGCAGACAGTCAATTAGTGAGAGGCGAGGGGAGCAGGAGGAGGAGGAGGAGGAGGAGGAAGAGGAGGAGAGGAAATCAGCTGGTGCTATAGTGCACGCACACACACACACACACACACACACACACACACACACACACACACACACACACACACACACACACACCTTCTGTCCCTCTCAGAAGCTTTGTGAGATTTACTCTGAATTATAACAACAGTTGAGGAAATAACTGATGTTTTATTATTTGTTGTATTTCCTGCAGAACTTAAAGGGTCAATTTCCACAAATACAATAAAATCACCTTGTCGAGTAGAAAGTTTCTCTAATAAAATGTGTTGGCGGTGTTTTAAAGTAACGGACATTATTTCTGTAAAGGGTTTTTGTAAAGTGATTATTATGTGGAGTATTTTTATTTCGCCGAACCTGCAGTTTATCGTTCCACTTTGAATGAGCGTTGAATTACGTGAAAGAGGTCAGGACACATTAACTCCACGAGTTCATCTTTAAAGTGAACTGTTCATTTATTATCAATGCAGTTTGGAGAAATGAAACGGTATCGCAAAAGTAATTATTGCAAAATGTTCCTTATTTTTTCTTCCACCTCTCAAAATATGTTGAGTGTCTATTGTTCGTTATAATTCTGCTCTTTTTGTGTGTGTAAATAACACAGTTAGACTGTTCTCTAATAATACTAATATAAGCAAGAGATCTGCACATTTTTATTGTGTCTTAGACTTTATCAGAGAGACACATGTGAGTTTCTTCTGACACCAAACAGAAGAGTCAAAGGTCAAACGAGTAAAACATTGAGGATAGCGTTTTATTTAAACCCATGATAACGAGACCTGTGATTAAAAGACTAGTGAAAGGAATCAGTTCCCTGTTTGGTTGCCAGACCCCCCCCCCCCCCTCCGGATCCCCCCCTCCTCTTCTCAGGGACCCGTTGACTCCAGAACCCTTTTAACAAAACCCTTATTAAAATGCATAAGGCCTCCCTGGGCGCCGCCGCCGCCGCCGCACGGATGACCTGTTTGGCATCAGGTGTGATGTGCCACCAAAGTGACCTTCTCCATCTGATCCTCTCCGCCACATACACACACACACGCACGCACACGCACACACACACACGCAGGAGCCGGGCCCACGACGGCAGGGGGGCCCCGGCGATCGATTCTCCAGCGAGAGGTTATCTATACGCGGTATTTTAATGTCACGGAGTCAGACCCAAATTGATAGTGATAAATATTTGCCGGAAGATTAGGTGAGGGAGGGGAGAGAAGAAGGGGGGGGGGGGGGGGGGGGAGAAGAGGGGGGAGTAACTCCGTCTCAGACCTGTAACCCCGGCAGAGCTGTTCCTCTCTGTGTCGGATTAGCCTCATCCATCCAGTGTCAATGGCTGTCTTGTTGAGAAAATCAGTGAGTAAACACGGCTGACAGAGAGAGAGAGAGAGAGAGAGAGACAGAGAGAGAGAGAGAGAGAGAGTGTGTCTGTGTGTGTCTGTGTGTGTGTGTGTGCGTGTGTGTGTGTGTGGTAGATAGGCGGCTGATTACTCATACAAATAGACTCCAAACTCCGCCTGGTCCCTGCAGAAATGTGTCCCCCCTCCTCTTCTGTTGCTCTCCTCTCCACTGTTTACTCCCCCCGCTGTCTCCCAGGACCCCCCCCTCGTCCTCGTCCTGCTGTTCCCACTTTGTCCCCCATCAATCACCGCTCCATTGTGTCCTGAATGTTATACGGAGCGACTTAATATCCCCTCCTTCATCTCTATTCACTCCCCAAAAACATTTTGTGTCCATTGCATTGTGGGTAATTCACTTATTTGTTTTCTTATTGGTGTC